TATGATGGAAGTAAGATTTTTGGTGTACGATTAGTGTGATTTTGTTGACTCTTTGCTTGGACATGGTGACATTTTGGTCAATATTTGAAATAGTGTGATGTAAGATTATGAAATTTTTGCTTGGACATATGACATTTTTGTCAATATTTGCTTGGACATATGACATTTTTGTCAATAGTGTGATGTAAGATTATGAAATCGGGATATTATAATAAAAAAAGTGGTTCTAAAATTGGAATATTTGAAATAGAAATCGAAATCGTCAAATTGGTTCTAAAATTGGAATATTTGAAATAGAAATCGAAATCGTCGGATTTTCACCGGGCAAAGGTTCTACAAAACCAATTACTATCTATTTGACTTGCTCAAGTCGAAATACAAGTCATTACAATTTAAAGAATCGAAGTAATATTCTCAAAAAAAAAAAATATATTGAAATTCAAGTACAATTCTATTAGGATTTAGGACTTATAATCTAATAAATTTCCTAGTAGGATTCTATTAATTGCAATTATAAATAGTAAATACCCCACGTGCTCATTATTTGAAATTGAACCTATCTTGATTGAATTCTCAAACAACAATCTACATCTCAGTTCTCCATTAATTACTCAACGTAAGTGATATATTACATCAATTTTTTTTATTTTTTTTTAATTTTTTTTTAAAATTTTTTTCATATGAAGGGTTCAGATTATTGATTTAATTAATATACAAGAAATATATGTCACACTGCCCAACTGAATCGGCCTCGAATTTCTCCAAGTTTAAGGTTGTTATCTAAATAGTGGACACAAATCTAAAACGCTCAATTTAGCAGAAAATTATATTTTTTTGGGGGGCGGATTAATTACAGAAGCACCACCCCCCACCCCCACCCCCAACCTAATCATCTGGACACATGGGATTCTTCATCCCTTGGTTTTGGCCCCCCTAAGAAACATATCACCAGATTTCGCCGAGGCAAGAAAATTAAACACCCCTTCTCACATTCTTGATTCTTGGACCAATCTTCGTGATCTTCGATTCACTTAGGTTGTTCCAAGCCAAACAACCACCTTCCCAAGAAGGGGACAATCCAAACAACCTCGTACGTAATAATATACAATTTGGGTCTTTTTTTTTTAATGCTGCATTTGTTGTGTGCTTTAAAATAGTTACTAGGAATCAAGTTAATGAATTATTATATATATTTTTATTTTTTTTTATTTTTTTGTGTGAAGGTGGTGGCATTTTTGGTTTTCAAGAAATGGGGTTGAAGTTGTCGAAGAAGGGGATGATTAAAAGCCCAGAGATGATGAACTTGGGGCACGTGCAGAGCCAGCTGGTGAGTTGTCTCTATAAAAACTACATACGTAACTTGGTCTCCAAGAAACGCAGGCGCATGCTCGTCGCGGGCTACGATCTCGACATGACTTACATAACGGATCGAGTTTTGGCCATGTCGTTTCCCGCCGAATCCATGCGTGCCGTGTACCGTAATCCCATGTGGCAGGTCAAGTCCGTGCTCGAAATGCGACATCCCGGTCATTACAAGGTGATTAATTATAAGAAAGAATGGATTATAACAACATGTTTTGCACATGTTTTTTTTAATATTGTCTATTTATTTATTAATTAATCCTTTTTTTTTTTTAATGGATTAAAGGTATATAACTTGTGTATAGAGCAAGCTTACGATGCGTCGCATTTCGACGGGCGTGTGGAGAGGTACCCGTTTGACGATAACCATGTCCCGACAATTTCGATGGTCAAGGCATTTTGTGAAGATGTTCATTCTTGGATATTGAGTGATCCCAAGAATATTGCAGTTGTACATTGCATGGTAGTATAAATTTCGAAAAAGAAACAAAAAACGATACGTACATATATGTATATATATAACTCGGTAAAAGTATCTTAGTTTAATAGTTGATGTTTCAATGTGCAGGCAGGAAAAGGTCGAACGGGATTAATGGTATCGTGTTACCTAGTTTACACGGGGATGTCAGCTGAGAAGGCTTTGCAAGTTTACGCAGAGAAACGAACCACAAATAACGAAGGCGTAAGTCTTTTCTTAGGTCTATATATATATATATATATATATATACATATATATAATTAGGTGCAATATAATCACTATTTATTAGTCGATAAATTAGTACTAAACACGTAGTTTTTTTTTTCCATCGTGAGTTGAATCAATCTTGATCGATATGTGTTACTTTTGCTAAACAGGTTTCTATAGCAAGCCAAAGGCGTTACGTCGAATATTGGGAGAAAGTGCTTTCTCTCTCCAAACGAGTTAATATCAGTACTTCTCCGATTCTCGATTTGCCTAAACCTTGCAGCAGAGAGCTTCAACACATTCGCTTATACGACACAACAAACATCGATCAGATCTTTGTTGTTGTTTCTGTCTTGCAAAATGTAATTATGACAAATCTCTCTCTCTCTCTCTCTCTCTCTCTCTCTCTCTCTCTCTCTCTCTCTCTCTCTCTCTCTCTCTCTCTCTCTCTCTCTCTCTCTCTCTCTCTCTCTCTCTCTCTCTCTCTCTAACGAAATGTGGTTTCTAATATGTGCAGATTCCAGGGCAGAGGTATTGCCCCCCAGCGGAAGTATCCAAGAATTGCTGCAGAAGAATCGGAAAAGAGAACGAAAGATTGAACAAGCCTCGATATTACTACTCGTTTGTTGAGGGTGATGAAGAAGGGAAGAAAGACGTGGCCGCGGAGCCTCGTTTGGTTGTTCAAATGGACACCGAAAGTTCGATTATTTACGAGAAGACTTGTCTCGGCTATTACTTTGAGAAGCCTGTCCAAGTAAGTACATTCTTACTGTATCTTGTCGAATTGTCGTAATTTATTTATTAATCGTAATTATAACCGTTTTTGTTATTGCTTTCGGTAGGTAACGGGCGATGTTCGTATAATTTTCTACGAGAAATTGATCGGAGGGCGTTTGTTTTACGTTTGCTTCAACACGGCTTTTATAACCGGCAGCCTACTGCAGGTGATCATTTCTATATATCTTTCTTGATTAATTTTTTTTTTTTTCTTCTTAATTAATCCCTTATTAATTATGTTTTAATGTACCTTTTTTTTGGTTATAGTTCTCAATGAGGGATTTGGACAAAGTTGGGAAAAGGGGTCATTCAATATGTGGTCCTTCATTTTGCTTGGAATTGTTTTTTGGTCCCTCAAATTGTAACAGTTTCTTGCCTCCATCAGATGGAAATGTTCTTGTGGATGAGTAAATTTTACAGTCTAAATTATATTTGATTCACCAAAATTTATTCTTTTGAAATATTAGGACAGAAAAAAAAAAGGGCTTCAAGAATTAATGTTGAGTAATTTCAAATTTGTAGTTAGTTTCAATAATATGTCTGCATAATTAGTATTAGTGTTCCTTGTATTTTTCTTCTTCTTTTTTTTTTTTTTTCTTTGTGTGATAAAGAATTTTTGGAAAATGTTTTTTTGGTTGCATGAGTTGAATGAAATTGGATTAAAATTTAATTATGTTAACTTATGTTTTAGTAAATATATGTGTTTTCTTAAATTTTTTGTTCGATCTTATTCGATTACATAATGTTCGATCCTATTTCTAATTGTACAACAATTCATTCATAATTGTTGTATTAGACATAAGCAAATGATAAATAAACATAAAATATGTTAAAAGGAAAAGGATCAAAAGTTATGCTCACATGGTGTACAATTTTGTTTTATTTAAGAACATAATAACTTCAAAAAATAATACACATTTCATTAATAACATTGAACTTTCTCATCAATTAGTATCAAGAAAAGAAGTGGATCGAAAATCGGAATCATCGGGTCAAAATTAGTGTATCGGAATTTCTTTTTTTTTGGAAATGGAAACTTAATTCAAATTAATTCTAGTTTCGTTCTGAAAATTTCAATTACATATAACTTTCGAAATTATTTTCAAAAAAATCAAACTAAGAAAAATCAAAATCGATAGAATTCGAAAATCCTATCATAATTTTAAGAAGGATGAGAAGGATATTTTCAGTTTTTACCCTTCAAGTTTGCAACAATTTTACATTTAGTCCCTTATACTTAAAAAAAAAATCCATTTGGTCCCTCATATGTTAATAATTGGCACTTTTGCTCATTTTCCGTCAATCTATCTTTTGTACATCAGTTGCGTTAGTGATGGCCACCATTTTGATTCCGTTAGTTTTAACATAAAAATGACTAAAAGTGTTGTATTATTGAAATATGATGGACCAAATGGATTCTTTGTGAATATAGGGCTTAAATATGTAATAAGTTCAAACTTGAGGGATGGAAACTGTATTTTCCCCGATATTTTCCTCTAGGGTCGTATATAGTATTTTCCCAAGTACCTATAGTATAGATTAATTATACAAATGCCCCAAACGTTTATTGGTATAAAGTTTAAACCTCTCTCACGACTAAATCACACCTTCGCTAAAATAGCAACAATTTCACGGCGACCGCAATTCCTACTCTGCAAGTTTCTTCGTTACTGATCTGCTCTTGAAGAAAAACCCTATTTCAGAAAAAAAAAAAAAAAGGAAAAAAATTGCACTGATTTCAACTATGGCGACGCAAAAACCCACACGAACGCCGGCGGAAATCGAGGATATTATCCTGCGGAAGATATTCCTTGTGTCGCTCATCGATTCCATGGAGAACGATCCACGAGTTGTGTACCTGGAGATGTCGGCGGCCGAGATTATGAGCGAGGGCAAGGAGCTGAAATTATCGCGAGATTTGATGGAGAGGATTGTAATCGATCGGCTGTCCGGCGGCTTCGTCGCCGCCGAGCCGCCGTTCCAGTACTTGGTCAATTGCTATCGCCGGGCGTGTGAGGAAGGGAAGAAAATCTCGTCGATGAAGGATAAAACCGTTAGGTCAGAAATTGAAATTGTAGTGAGACAAGCGAAGAAATTGGCAGTTTCTTACTGTAGGATTCACTTGGGGAATCCTGACATGTTCCCCAATCACGATACGAACAAATCGTCGAACGTTTCGCCTCTGCTGCCGTTGGTTTTCGCAGAGGTCGGGGGTAGTCTGGATGGGATTGGAGGGAGTAGTAGTGGGGCATCCTCTGCTCCCGGTTTTCTCGAGGAATTCTTTAGAGACGCTGATTATGATTCAATTGAACCAGTTATGAAGCAGTTGTATGAGGATTTGAGAGGGAGCGTGTTGAAGGTTTCGGCTCTCGGGAATTTTCAACAGCCGTTAAGGGCACTGTTAATGTTGTTGAATTTCCCAGTTGGGGCAAAGGCATTGGTAAGTCATCCGTGGTGGATTCCGAAAAGTTTGTATTTGAATGGGAGAGTGATTGAGATGACTAGTATATTGGGGCCCTTTTTTCATGTTAGTGCATTGCCCGATCATGCTATATTCAAGACCGAGCCTGATATTGGGTGAGTGATGATTTTTACTTTCCATCTATTTTACTTGCCATTAACTTTGCAAGTTCTGATGTTTTATATTGGCTTCTGTTGTTGATACTAGTTACTTTATATTGGCGTGTGTTGTCGATGCTAATTACTTTATATTGCCATGAGTTGCAAGAAGTGAGTCACTGGTTTCCATATTCGGGCTTTTGTGATTAATGTCGTGTGGTTCATGATTACGGATTACGGTAGGATAATAGTGTACCCCTATAAGAATCTTATGGAGTTATGGGTCTTTTGATTATTCAGTGCAATTGAACTGAACCTATTTCTAATTGAACTTGAAGCTGTAGAAATTCAAAGTTTTTTGGATTAGTTACATGTTATTGTACTAATGGATAAATGTCTCTTGTATTGCCAGTCAACAGTGCTTTTCTGATTCCTCAACTCGCCGCCCATCTGATCTTAACTCGGCCTTTACAACTATCAAAACTGTTATGAACAACTTGTATGATGGGCTGGCAGAAGTTCTTAAGTGCCTCCTAAAAAATACAAATACTCGTGAGAATGTTCTTGAGTACCTTGCGGAGGTCATCAACAGAAATTCTTCAAGGGGACATTTGCAGGTATAATTTTCTATAGAGACAGCAGCGGCACTTTGACTTCATCTTAGGTTGATGGCGTTAAGGATTTCATTTGAACGATTTCAATTTCTTAATTTTATCCCTAACCTTTTATTATATGGATTTTGGCTGCAGGTTGATCCATTATCTTGTGCTAGTTCAGGCATGTTTGTAAATCTTAGTGCTGTACTGCTTCGTTTATGTGAGCCATTCTTAGATGCCAATTTGATAAAAAGGGACAAAATTGATCCTAATTATGTATTTTACGGTAACCGCCTGGAAATGAGGTAGAGGGTTGTCTTTGCTTCATTGTTAACCTTTTACAGCTTGATACTGGTAAAACTCATTATTGTTATTATTAATTTTTCGGGTAATAAACTTGTCCAGAGGATTGACTGCTTTACATGCATCATCGGACGAAGTATCTGAATGGTTTGACAGTAATACTGCAAAAGCTGATAATGGACAAAACCGGTTGTTAGAATCTCAAGAAGCTACAAGTTCTAGTAGTAATGCTAGTAAACCTTCTCTCCTCCAAAATAGTAATCCTGTGCCCAGAAGTAGTGAAAAGGTCAAGTACACATTCATAAGTGAATGCTTCTTCATGACTGCTAGGGTGCTTAACTTGGGGTTGCTAAAAGCATTTTCGGACTTCAAACACCTTGTTCAGGTATGCCTAGTCTTTTAACCAGGAAGATACTTTATCTTCCTTTCCTTGTTATGTACTATTTTTTAGATTTCCATCTATATAAATTACAATAGGTTATTCTTCTCTCATCTGAATAATGATTTTGATTTCATACTTAATATTCAGGATATTTCCAGATCTGAAGAGACTTTATCCTCATTCCAAGCCATGCAAAGGCAAGCGCCTTCTCCTCAATTGCAACAAGATATAACCCGCCTTGAAAAAGAAATTGAATTGTACTCACAGGAGAAGTTGTGCTATGAAGCTCAAATCCTAAGGGTATGGAATGTTTACATTTTGTTGCGTCCGTAACTTGATATTTAGTTTTTCATAATTTCTGAAATTTATGCATCATCTGTATTTTGACAATAAATGCCTAGTTCATTTACTATGGTACTTCTAAGATGTCATATCAGTCTTGCAGCTGAAGCAAGGATCCTCCTATATTGGTATTTCACTTATTAATCAAAAAATTAAGAGTTACTTTGCTTTCTACCATGCTTATGCATCTCACTCTACTTTGGCTCGGTTTCCAATTAGGACGTTATTCTATGCTGCCCGCCTTTTTGTTTCTCTTGCTAAAACTGGCTTCTCTAATAGGTTTTTTAATTTAATTTTTTACTCTTTTTCCCTGTAGGATGGAGGGATTCTTCAGCGTGCATTATCTTACTACCGCCTGATGGTAGTTTGGTTGGTTAGTCTGGTAGGGGGGTTTAAAATGCCATTACCCCCAACATGTCCAAAAGAATTTGCTTCTATGCCTGAGCATTTTGTAGAAGACACCATGGAATTGCTAATTTTTGCGTCGCGAATTCCTAGAGCTTTAGACGGTGTTGTGCTGGTATATTATGAGTTGATTTTTTTCTTATGGTCTAATGATCATCTTGTATGCTTGATTGCCCACACCTTCCATCTTCATATTGTCAGGATGATTTTATGAATTTCATCATTATGTTCATGGCCAGTCCCGAATACATCCGAAATCCATATCTAAGAGCCAAAATGGTTGAAGTCCTTAATTGCTGGATGCCTCCGAGAAGGTATATTTTGATGAGTTCCATTGGGCAGTGTGCTGTTATTGTTCTTGTTCTTTCTTTGGATCTCGCATAATACTCACTAATTTGTGTGTACAGTGGCTCAAAGACAACAGGAACTTTGTTTGACGGGCACCAATTATCCCTCGAGTATCTAGTGAAGAATCTTCTGAAGCTTTATGTTGATATCGAATTCACTGGTTCCCACACTCAGGTGATTGTTGCCAAGGGAGTTCATGGCATATCTGCATAAAAGTGCAAATTTCTCTTAATATTTGGTTTATAACTTCTATAAACCTGTATTCTGATTGCCCTGCCCTGGACCATTCAACATATTTTGTGCTAATAAAATTTTGACCGTTCATTATTGAAATATAATCATGTGAAAAAGAGAGTGTGTTGTATATGTGATACTTTCGTCGAGGTCGATGAACCATATTATGATGGCAACCTAATGGATTTAACTGTCAGTTCTCATATGACAGACCTAATTACAAGCTTTAGTAGTAATTTTCTTTTGCTTTTACTTTCATATACATGTCTTTGTAATATAAGCCTTCTTATCTGAGTTATGTGTCATATCTTCCAGTTCTACGACAAGTTTAACATCCGTCACAACATTGCCGAACTCCTCGAGTATTTATGGCAGGTTCCCAGTCATCGTAACATCTGGAAAAAGGTAAAGCTATCAATGTAATCTGTTTATTTCTGCCTCCGTTCCTAATTCTGTTTCCATGAAAATCTTATACTTCAATATCTTGTGTCTTGCCAGATTGCTAAGGAGGAGGAGAAGGGCGTTTATCTCAACTTTTTGAACTTTTTGATTAATGATAGCATTTTTCTCTTGGATGAAAGTCTTAACAAAATCCTTGAACTTAAAGAAATAGAAGCGGAGATGTCTAATACTGTGGAATGGGAGAGACGACCAGCCCAAGAAAGGCAGGAGAGAACACGGGTTTTCCACTCTCAGGAGAATGTCAGTGTTTACTTCATATCTTTTTAGTCTATCTTAGTTTGAAATGCTGATCAAATGGTAGTTCAATCATGTTTGTAGATTATTAGGATCGATATGAAATTGGCAATGGAAGATGTGAGCATGCTGGCGTTCACTTCAGAGCAGATAACGGTCCCTTTTCTTTTACCGGAAATGGTATGTATAGTCTTTCCAGTTTTTTGTTCAACTTGTTCTTTGTTTGGTATGATTAAGTTACCCTAACATGGCTGTTGTCATCCAGGTCGAAAGGGTTGCTAGCATGCTGAATTATTTTTTGTTGCAACTTGTGGGGCCACAAAGAAAATCCCTTACATTAAAAGACCCTGAGAAGTACGAGTTTCGACCAAAAGTGTTGCTAAAGCAGGTAAGTCACCTTTCTTCATGCATATTTCACATTTATATTCAGGTATTTTGATCGATATCGTCTGCTAGTTTTGATTGGTATTAAATAAATGTGGAATTTTGTAGCGTGATTCATGTGAATGTATTGCACTTCCTAACTCTTAAGCTGTCTTAGTTACCGCCTCTTTTTCAATTTTCTCCTTTGGATTTTGTATCAATTATAAGAAAGATGAAGCATGTGACAATAAAATCTGATGATACTAAACTCCATTTTCTTTATCTGAAGATTGTTACCATATACGTTAACCTGGCGAAAGGAGACAAGGATAATATTTTCCCTGCAGCCATCACAAGGGATGGTCGTTCGTACAATGAACAGGTAAACTTTCATTCATTTTATCATTTTATGTGATCTGAAGGACAAATCAATAAATATTAATCTGTTTATTTGTTTCTTTCTTACTTTTTTTTTTTTTATCTTATTTATTTGGGTGGGAGATAGCTATTTGGTTCTGCAGCTGATGTCTTGAGAAGAATTGGGGAAGATGGTAGGATGATACAAGAGTTTGTTCTGCTCGGAGAAAAAACAAAAATTGCCGCTTCAGACGCTATGGATGCTGAGGCTGTCCTTGGAGACATACCCGATGAATTCCTTGACCCAATTCAGGTATAAATCATGACCTCGTTAGTACCAAATACTGGTGAATTTTCTGGTCGATATTTTCTAGTAATTATATATTTTTTTTCTTGAATTTTCAGTACACTTTAATGAGGGATCCCGTCATTTTGCCTTCGTCAAAAGTCGTATTGGACAGACCAGTTATTCAGAGGCATCTTTTGAGTGATAGTGTACAAAACCCTCAACTTCATCCCTTTTGTTTTTCCTTTTCTTTAGTATCATTCTTGAAAAATTAAGTTTTAATTATTATCTAATTTTTGGTATATTACAGACGGATCCATTCAACCGGTCTCATCTGACCGCTGACATGTTAATACCCGATGTGGAGTTGAAGGCGAAAATTGAAGAATTTATCAAATCCCAAGAACTGAAAAAACGTGGGGAAAGCTTGGGCGCGCAAACTGCCAAAGCCACTATACAGACAACTGATACAACCACCTTAATCGATTAACAAATATTCATAGGATGCCCTAATATGTGTAAATTAAATTCGAGTTATGCGTTTCGTAATCAGTCAATATTTAATAGAAAATGTTATGGCGACGACTGGTTTCTTTTTCCTTTTTTGCATCATATATTTTTCTTTCTAAGGTGGTAATGGAACTGTTGGATACTTTAATGTTCGACTCTCCTTAAATTTTCAGTTATTCGATTTCATTTATGTTGTTTGGTTCTTTTCCATATTTTTAAGCTCGGCAAGACCATTTGCAATAATGCAAAATGCTACCACCATAGGCAATGCTAATCAAGATTCTTTTGAAGAAACATGAAAAAACGAAGCGAATGCATGTATACAGGTAGTCTTAACAACCTTGTACAGATCTTACAAGCAGCTCATAGTCTGCTACAATGGAGACTTCATTCTTCTACAAATTGACTCTTAACACGAAGCTCCAGTATATATCGGTAAACGATGCAGTTTTCGACATTCCCTCAAAAGATCTTTTGTCAAAATTATTGGTTTTGCAATATTATTACCTAACAACAATTCATCGTAACCTGTTTAACGAGAAAAGTATTAGATTACAGTTATAGACATTTGCCAACATCTGTTACCACAATTAGACCTAAGAGAATCGAAGCAAGAAAAGAAGAAAACAAAATTGCACCTGTAAAAGTCTCAACGTAATTTGCGACACTTTCTTTGGTAATGTATCTTGATAAGTAACAGACAATCGTTTTCACAGTTTCGATGTAGGGCTAGTTAACTTCCTCTTGGAAAACTCGTTGGCAATCCGAATGGTGTTTTTGTTGTGGCGCAGATAAAACTCTGCTAGGAGAATCTTGTTCTCTTCCTCCGTTAGATCCCCATGACCACCCTAAGCCAAAAGAACAAACCATCGAGTACTGAGAAATTCATTTCCAAATGAATCTTGCGACTACGGTTTCGTTATTACAGATCACGTCACAAATTTTAAAACCAGCGAAACTAACAAAAGACCAGTTAAGGTTGTCCGACGAGTTAGTGTAACTAACAAAGAAGGTATATTATTACCATGCGCGAAGTCCTGTCGAATACAGCTTGGTGCATAAGAAGGCCAGCAGCTACTGAAACATTAAACGAGTCTACCATGCCTCTCATCGGTATACTGCAGTTCAAATCCGACAGCGCAAGTGCCTCTTTGCTTATCCCCCTGAAAAAAAATGATTAAAATTTATCTAATTCAAAGAACACTATTGAATTTATAACACGGAACGAGAAAATACTTGATTTTTTGTTGAGGAATTTTAATACCCAATTTTTTGATATATAATAAAAGGCAACAAAGAAATGTACCTAAGTTCATTTCCAACTACTATTGCTGTCGGGCATGACCAGTCAACATCATAGACGGACACCTGGACAAAGTACCAGTTTTTCCATTATGTATGTTAAAGAACTTCCTTACGGAAATAACCTTTTTATCACTTAATTAAGAGGATTAAAATGGATAAATTTAGTTATACCGCATCCGTCCCAAGGTGGGCTGAGGCAATTCTATAACCACGTGCTTTCAGAATTCCGAAACACTCGCTCACTGAATTCCAAAGCTCGATATCCAGCCATTTCTCTGCTCCCATGCTGACGTGGCGATTGTCTCTGTACCTGCACGGCGGAGGGTGGAAGCAATTAAATTCAACAATTGCAAAACCAAAAGATCGATTTATTTCTGAATGCAAATCCGAAATATCAACAAAAACGTGTCCTCTCCAGATCCAAATGACATACAGTTAATCACTGGTGTCTATTACGATGCAAAAACACGCCTCGCTAAATCCCGTTGCACAATTGAAAAAAACTAAAATCGTTCATTTTCTTGATCATTCAATTTCACAAAATATCAATCGAAAGCATTTCGACAAAGGCAATCAACAGACCTTCTCGAGCTGTCAGGCGAAACAACATGAACAGACTGAATTCCAAGCGCATCAGCAGATCGGAAAGCGGCCGAAACATTCCCAAAATCGGTCAATCCCTCAACCACCAAACACACTGAATAGCTCCGATTATTCACCGCATTCTTAAACCTATCCTTCCTCACATCCATTATATACGGATCCATCGCTTCTATAACTTCACCGCTGCTCAGATAAACTTCCCCTGCTTTGCATTTATCCAAATACGGAAACCAACGCCCCCCCTTCTTATCGCCGTCGCAGTTTTCCAAACGGCGCTCCATTTTCATCAAACTTGAAATATCATCCTTATTTTTGGTAAGTAATTCTTCCACCGTATCTTTAATTGAATCTTGCTCTCCTTCGAAAGCTCCCTCTGTTGAATCGCAAGTATCCAGAGGAATAGCTCCTTCCACGTGGCTGAAGCTTCTCGAAACCGCAAAAGGCTTCTGGGGTTTGATTCTCAGACCTGATTTTTTTTTTTTTGCAAGGAAAAATCAAAACTTGGTTTAACAGTAAGAAAAAAAAAAAACAAAGTAAATTCGTAATTGCGCAGAAGTAGATGAGAAATGTAATTAGGTATGTACCTGAATGAGGTAAAAGTGAAGAAGCAAAACGGCGTAGTGTAGTTGAATTTGGGGTTCGAGCTCGAAATTCCAGACATGATAGTGAAGTACGGATTAGGGTTTTGCAGGCACTCATTTGCAATTGAGGGAGGTGAATGGGGGGTTTTTCTTACGGCGCCGTTGAAGATTAATTTGAAACATCGGCCGTTTATTAACGGAAAGTAGACGGTAGTTTACCACTTTACCACCTTCAATAATATTCTATGATGTTAAAATATATAAAAAAAAATTAATAATTGGAACGTAATTTTTAACATTATTAGTATTCTACACACTATGGTGCTGATATGGTTGAACATTGGAACGGAATTTCCAATTTCCGTCGATTCTGTTTTAGTTTTTTTTTTGGAGCAATAATTTCATTCCAAATTCTGAATCCGATTCCGAATTTTGTGATTTTCTTTTCGATAAAAAATGGAGTATAGATGAGAATTGAGATTCCCATTCGATATAAGAGAATGTTCCTATTCTTTATTTTTTTTTTCCGAAAATTACACTTATAATATCAATATTATTATTATATTATGTGTTTTATATTTTAAGTGATTAGATCACGGGTTGTCATTTTCGAATACTGGCGGATCGGATCGAAAAATTCTGATTTTGAAACGAGCATCTATCATTCCAATTTCCGAAATTTAGTTGGGAAGTAATTAATTGGTACCAAATTTAATCAACTACCTCGGCGTAACACTCTATTACACCAAAAAGTCAAAATCCATGTCAATAAAAAGCACTTATTCCAATAACTTTTCTCCGGCCAAAAGAAAAAAAAGACAATGGCAAACGACGCGCCACCCCACATAGCTCTCTTTCCCTGCGCCGGCATGGGCCATCTCCTCCCATTCCTCCGCCTCTCCGCCATGCTCTCCTCACGGGGCTGCTCCGTCACCCTCATCACTGTCAACCCCACCGTCACCGCCGCCGAGTCGGACCACCTCTCCGCCTTCTTCGCCGCCCACCCCCAAATCCAACGCCTCCACTTCCAGCTCCTCCCTTACAAGAAATCAAACTTCACAAACGAAGACCCTTTCTTCATCCAGATGGAATCCATCTCCAACTCCGTCCACCTCCTCCCCCCACTCCTCTCCACCCTCTCTCCGCCGCTCTCCGCCGTCATCGCCGACTTCTCCGTCGCAAACGCCGTCTTCACCCACCTCGCTCCGGAACTACCCATCCCAATATACACACTCACCACCACTTCCGCCAGATTCTTCACACTAATGACAAACCTCCCTCACCTAACCACCCACACCCAAGGAGAAGATAATAACGGTTACGTATACGTAACGGTTCCATCTCTAGGCCGGACGCCGTTATCGAATATTCCGCCGCCGATGCTCGAGGCCAACCACTACTTCGCCGCCAACATCATCTCAAACCTCTCGTCCCTATCGAAACTGAACGGCGTCATCATCAACACGTTCGACTCGTTCGAACCGGAAGCCATTGAAGCACTGATCAGCAAAGAAAAACTAGCACTAGTACCGAAAATTCTCCCCTTGGGGCCCTTCGAATCTCTCGAAACCGATGCACGTGAGGACAATAATCTCCCATGGCTAGACGAACAAGCTCCCGAATCGGTCGTCTTCGTTAGCTTCGGAAACCGAACGGCCCTATCCAAGGAGCAGATCCGAGAACTAGGAAACGGGTTGTTGAGAAGCGGGTCGAAATTCTTGTGGGTGTTAAAAGGCGGGAAAGTTGATAAAGATGATAAGGAAGAAGTGGGAGAGATTCTCGGGGAATCTTTTCTTGAGAGGGTGAAGAGTAAGGGGCTAGTTGTTAAGGGGTGGGTGAATCAAGAATTGATTTTGGGCCATGTTGCTGTAGGTGGGTTCGTTAGCCATTGCGGTTGGAATTCGGTTACGGAAGCGGCTCGATTAGGGGTTCCGATTTTGGCTTGGCCGTTGCATGGCGATCAAGGGGTTAATGCAGAGGTGGTGGAGAAGGTGGGGTTAGGGCTTTGGGTTAGGGGGTGGGGTTTGGGTGGTGGAGAGAAATTGGTGGGTGAAAATGAGATTGCTGAGAAGATAAAGGACTTGATGGGAAATCAAAAATTGAGGAGTATAGCTATGGAGGTGAAGGAGAAAGCTCGATTGGTGAGAGAAGCTAATGGGAGTTCGGAAATGTTGATTCGAGGCGTAATCGAGTCGTTGAAGAACAAGGGAAAGGCGTGAGGGTTTACTATCTACTCGTTTTTTTCTCCGATAAATCTTACCTTCTTGAAGAATGCATAACTAATAATGTACCATATTTCGATTTCCTTTACATTTATATATATGCCTTGTGACTATACACTTGGTTTTTCTTCCAAGTGGTACCGGAAACTTGTTTCCGTTTCTCCGACTTGCCGCCAAATGGCATCGCGTACATAATTACAGAGTCTACCATCATCAACATTCAAACTCAAGCCCTTGCTTTTGAATTCGATCACCACTAGTTTTTTGCTAATCACCCACAAATAAGTATAATATACTCAATCTTGAAATAAACTCGAATACTCCCTCACATTCCACCCCAACCGATCCTTTCATCGTACAAATTCAAAGCATAAATCGTTCTGTCAACAAATAACTCAATCCATTTCTTGTCTTCTTCACAAGTTTCTACCATATTCTCAGACTTCGTTTTAGCAGCCACAATCGCTCAAATCTCCGATAATAATCTTCAAATCCCTTCCTACATCATTTTCACCACTTCAGTTTTTCTCTCTTGTTTCGTATATATCTTCCAACTATGTTGACGTACGTAAACACCCCAACGTATTTAGCAACTCGTATGGGGAAAACGCGATCCAAAACCAATACCAATATTGAGCATCCCTCTTGCCCGGAAGCATGAATACTCGACCAATCATCAATTGATTGTGTAACACAACAACATTAGTGTTACTACTTTGACCGGTCAACCACACTTTACTACTATGTTGATCGATCAATAATATTGTAATACTCTCGGTTCAGTCCTCGGACGATTATTTAAAACCTGCACCCCCTACTTTTAAGTTTGAGTTACACTTCACTCAGTGCAAAGACTAAAACGCCCCTTCTCGTACAAAATTACACCAACCACATGAAAAGCTCCAAAAAGTTCTTTTTTCCCACGAAAAAATGTTTTTCCATCTAGAATTCTTTTTAGAGAAAACATATGACGTGAGGTCGAATAACAAAAATACCCTTTATATTTGGGTATTACAACCACCCCTCCGATTCAACTATGAATCTTCATAGTCATTCTACACATCAAATTCAACATAATCTTCTAGATTATATAGAATGTTCTCTAATTTGTACTAAAAAAATACATGATGCACCACAATCTACTGTGATATTTACAAGCTAAGAGGCGCATCTTAATTATGATCATCTAGTTTTCAATGTGAAGCTTGAATGGTATAAACATGTACAAACTGAAGAGTATTCTACATAATCAAGAAAATTCCACTAAATTTAATACCCGAGAAGATTTATAATTAAGATAGCAGTGGTTGTAATTACTCAATTATGATGAACTCTTTTGTTATTTAACATTTACATGATAAGGCAACCATAATTTACCCCCTAATTAATTAATTCAACAAGTTATAAGAAAAGTGTGGTTTTTAACAACTCAAGTACATTGACCAAAATTGTAAATATAAAAAGATTGTGGCCACAACTCCACTACGTACATATTCCGACAAAAACATGCAGAGTGGGTCCCACCAAATTTAATCAACTACCACCTCGGCGTGACACTCTATATACACTCGCCACAAACTCCAACAACTTTTCTCCGGCCAAAAAACAATGGCAGCCACCGCCACCTCAATCGACGCGCCACCCCACATAGCTCTCTTCCCCTGCGCCGGCATGGGCCATCTCCTCCCATTCCTCCGCCTCTCCGCCATGCTCTCCTCACGGGGCTGCTCCGTCACCCTCATCACCGTCAACCCCACAGTCAGCGCCGCCGAGTCGGACCACCTCTCCGCCTTCTTCGCCGCCCACCCCCAAATCCAACGCCTCCACTTCCAACTCATCCCTTACAAGAAATCAAACTTCACAAACGAAGACCCTTTCTTCATCCAGATGGAATCCATCTCCAACTCCGTCCACCTCCTCCCTCCACTCCTCTCCACCCTCTCTCCGCCGCTCTCCGCCGTCGTCGCCGACTTCCCCATCGCCCACGGCGTCGCCACCACTCTCTCCCCCGAACAACCACCCATCCCAATATACACACTCGTCACCACTTCCGCCAGATTCTTCACACTAATGACACACCTCCCTCACCTTATAACACAAAAAGATAACAGCTGCATCGAGATTCCGTCACTCGGAAAGATTCCGTTATCGAATATTCCGCCGCCGATGCTCGACCCCAACACCTTCTTCTCCGCCAACATCATCTCAAACGTCTCGTCTCTGTCGAAACTCAACGGCGTCCTCATCAACACGTTCGACTCGTTCGAACCGGAAGCCATTGAAGCACTGAGCCAAAACGCAGTACTGCCAGAAATTCTCCACGTGGGCCCCTTCGAATCACTCGAAACTGAAGCGCGTGCACACACTCTCCCATGGCTAGACGAACAAGCTCCCAAATCAGTTGTCTTCGTCAGCTTCGGAAGCAGAACAGCCCTATCCAAACCCCAGATCCGAGAACTAGGAAACGGGTTGTTGAAAACCGGGTCGAAATTCTTGTGGGTGTTAAAAGGCGGGAAAGTTGATAAAGATGATAAGGAAGAAGTGGGAGAGATTCTCGGGGAATCTTTTCTTGAGAGGGTGAAAGGTAAGGGTTTAGTTGTTAAGGGGTGGGTGGATCAAGAATTGATTTTGGGTCATGCTGCTATTGGTGGGTTCGTTAGCCATTGCGGGTGGAATTCGGTTACGGAGGCGGCTCGATTAGGGGTTCCGGTTTTCGGTTGGCCGTTGCATGGTGATCAGAGGGTTAATGCAGAGGTGGTGGAGAAGGTGGGGTTAGGGTTTTGGGTTAGGGAGTGGGGTTTGGGAGAGAAATTGGTGGGTGAAAATGAGATTGCTGAGAAGATAAAGGACTTGATGGGAAATGAAAATTTGAGGGGTAGAGCGATGGAGGTGAAGGAGAAAGCTCGACTCGCGAGAGAAATTGATGGGAGTTCGGAAATGCTGATTCGAGGCCTAATCGAGTCGTTGAAGAACAAGGGGAAAGCGTAATTTTTAGTTTTCATAGAATAAGGGAGAATGGCCGAGGATTTGATTTTCATGCTTCGTAAGTTGTAATAAATATTTAAAATGTGTTGTTTGCAAATAATCAGAGTTCGGTTATGGCTTGATTTTTGTTCCACCATATGCTAACCGTTCTTCACTACGGGTTTTTTCGTAATTTGACGGGAGGTGGCCGTAATTTACCCAAACTTATTGTTGATAAGGAAAAGTTATAATCTATATACTAAAACTACCTCTAACCTTTTTAAACACCCGCAATTTTGAATGGGGGCAACTATTTTGAATACTAATTTTTGCTTAGTTGAATACTACCTAGTTGAAAACCACAATTGAGTACATATTTATAAGTTTTTTCTTACTTTAAAACCAAAATAAAAAGAAAATTACAAAAACACCCTTTCATACAAAATATCAATTATATCAAATTTTATTAGAAATTACCTATTCAAAAACCAAATAAAAAAAAAAGAAAAAAACCCTTTGTTGTTAAAAAAAAAAACCTCCACCATTTCTTCTCCTCTCCAGCCCTGACCACCGCCGCCGCCGCCGACGCCGCCGCCGTCGAACGCCACCGTACGTGCTCGTAACTGCCGCGACAACCCAATTAAACCCTATCTTTTTCATCTTCTTAAATCCTCCAAAACATCTCCAAATTCAAAAAATCAAAACCTCACAAAACTTATAAAATGGAGTTATAAGACAATAATATGGTAGTATATGTGGAAAGAGAAGCCATTAAGGTAAGTATCGATGTCTTTTTTGAGCTTCGAAGTCGATTTTGAAGTTTTTTTTTTTGAAACCCGTCGGCAATTTTCGACACATACAGGTCGATTTTTGGTCAATTTTCGACACCAACGTGTCGAAAAAGAAAAAAAAAAAAAAAAAAAAAAAAAAAAATCAAATTTCGACACCTACCTGTCGAAATTTGGACAATTTTCGACAGGTAGGTGTCGAAATTTGGTTTTTTTTTTTTTTTTTCTTTTTCGACACGTTGGTGTCGAAAATTGACCAAAAAATCGACCTGTATGTGTCGAAAATTGCCGACGGGTTTCAAAAAAAAAAAACTTCAAAATCGACTTCGAAGCTCAAAAAAGACATCGATACTTACCTTAATGTGTTCTCCTTTCATATATACTACCATATTATTGTCTTATAACTCAATTTTATACGTTTTGTGAGGTTTTAATTTCTTTAGTTTTGATATTTTTTAGAAGGGTTTGTTGTGAGATTTTTTAGAAGGGTTTGTTGTGAGGAAGATTTTTTAGAAGGGTTTTTGGGGAGGGAGAAGAAGGAGGTGGAGAAGGAGGGAAATGGTTTTTTGAGTTTTTGATTATTTGGTATTTAAGAAAGAAAAATAGTATTTGTAATATTTTTTTAGTTTTAATTTCATTAAGGGTATTAAAGTAATTTACAATTAATTATTTATTTTTTATTTTTTTGGTATTCAAGTAAACAAAAGTTGGGATTTGAAATAGTGATCCCCATTTTGAATTCGTTGAAGAACAAGAGAAAAACCCTAATCGAGAGTCGTCGAAGAACAAGGTAAAAGGCGGGAGGGTATTCGAGTATTTGTAGATTCTTGGATAATCTCTTGTTTTCTTGAAAGGTCACATGATTAATTGTTTAAGCACAAGTCACATGTCATGAATCAGCAATTGATTATAAATTACCTAGAAGTTGACATAAAAAGAATATTCCTTTCAATCTTCATAACTATCAAACAAACACCCAAGAAACTAACGTATAAATATATGTCCATTTACTTTATATATATATATATATATGTACATATATGTGCCTTATGAGCAGCAAAAGAAAAATCATACTAAGTATATTTATTGAAATGTCAGTTTCAGAAAGCTTTCTTCCTCACTTGGTGTTTCTTCCAAGTGGCATCGGAAACTTGTCTCCGTTTCTCCGACTTGCCGCCGCAATGGCATCGCGTAATTGCAGAGTTACGTTCATCAGCATTCAAACTCAAGCCCCTGCTTTTGAATTCAGCACTTTTTTCGCTAATCACCCACAAATAAATCTACTCAATCTTGAAATTATAGACTCGAATACTCCCTCGCACTCCACCGTAACCGATCCTTTCATCGTACAAATTCAAACCATAAATCACTCCCTCAACAAACTCAATCCATTCCTGTCTTCTTCACAAGTTTCTGCAATATTTTCCGACTTTGTTTTAGCAGCTGCACTGTCTCAAATCTCCGATAATCTCCATATCCCTTTCTACATTATTTCCACCACTTCAGTTCGTTTTCTCTCTCTTGTTTCGTATCTTCCAACTATTTTATCGAAAGACCCAAACGTATTATTTAGCAACTCTTGTGACGAAATCGAGATTCTCGGATTGAAACCGATACCGAAATCGAGCATCCCTCTTGCATGGAAGCACGAATACTCGACCAATCATCTACTGACAGCTTACCTTCTGCCAAACGCTAAATCACTCCCAAAAGTCAACGGTGTTCTCTTGAACACTTTTCACTCGTTCGAACCAGAAACAATAGCAGCCCTCAATAACGGCATATTTCTAAAGAACCTGCCACCTGTTTTTCCAATCGGGCCACTGCAATTTTACGGGACCCACAAGATCCACGACGATGATCACCATCGCCATCTTCTTCCATGGTTGAGTGAACAAAGAGCTGAATCGGTGGTGTACGTCAATTTTGGAAGGCGAGAAGTGATGTCAGCAGATCAAATGAGGGAACTGGGAAAAGGTTTGGAGATATGCAGCTATAATTACCTGTGGGTGATGAAAGGCAATAACGAGGAAGATGACGAGTTTTCAGACAGAGGTGTAATAATAAGAGGGGAGGTGGATCAGGAGCAAATTCTAGCTAATCCTGCCATTGGAGGATTCGTTAATCAATGCGAATGGGATTCAGTCATGCAGGCAGCTTGGAACGGAGTACCGATACTTGCATGGCCACAACATGGTGATCAAGAAATGAATGCAGAAACTGTAGAAAATGCAGAATTAGGGGTTTGGATTAAGGAGTGGGCCCCAGTCGAAAAAATGATCGAGGGAGAAGAAATCGGACAAAGGGTAGCGAAAATTATGGGAGATTTGAATGTTAAGAAGAGGGCTAAAATTGTGAGGGAGAAGGCTAGAGAGGCCTGTGAAATTGGTGGCAGCTCTGAAGAGGCTTTTATGGAAGTTGTCGAAATTCTTACAAGCAAAAGGAACTAGAGCTCGATGTACAAGAATCGATATCCAAATCGGCATAAACAATAAACACTTAGGCAGAGAGGGAATTTACTTACTGAAATGAAATCGAAGGATATTCCATTCTCCTGGAGCCGTCTTTCAAGATCCGTTGATTCAATTCAGAATATTCCATTTCTGTAAACGCAAGTCCTGCCATATTTCTACCTTGAATTTTGGATAATTATATTATGTTTACTAGCAAAAAAGTGGTGACGAAGAATTTGAACTTTAAACTAGTAAATATCTCTCCATCAATCGCAAACTCTCAATTGTTTGGTACTGAGACGATTGTTATTCAACGAGTAGACAAAGTAAAGGAGAGATTATTACATGAAGACAGTATTATAAAACTCAGGCAGAGAGAGAATTTACTGAAATGAAGTCAAAGGATATCCCGTTCTCCTGGAGCCGTTTTTCGAGATCCGTTGCGCCAAACACAATCCCGGGGGTGAAAACCCCTCCCTTAGGCAGATTATCGCGTTCTTTAAGTGCAACAAGAGCGCACTGAAGCAGAACAATTGGGGTGGTCAGATATCCAATCTCAGGTCCCATTACCCTTGTAATAACTTCAGTATCGGGTTTCTTGTTCCCCTGTGAAGCCAAACTACTGTCCGAAAACCCCTGTCCAACAAACCACATCTTAAAGGTAGCACTCGCAACCTCATCCTCAGACGGGCCTTCCTTCCGGAACCCTCCAGCGCTGAAAAACGAGGGGTATTTCAAGAGAAGCCATCTCCCTAGTGAAACCTTGCTCAACAAACCGAGGAAAACTCCAAACATGATGAAGGGGAATAAACCGAGCAACGATTTTGACCCTAATTTCACACCGAAATGAGCTGGCTTTGCAGTTGACCAGAAGGCCTCCCTGGTTTTACGGTTTTCGTCACTCTCGTTAACACCGGGTAAACCATGGGGGTTTTCTGTCAGAGTGGAGAGCGTTCTTCTTACAACGATGGAATCTGCTGAGGGTAATTTCAAACCCCAAAGGTCGAGCTGTTTCTGGTGTTCTATGATGGAACCTTTTGGTGGTGCTGGTCCGGGAATCTGAAATAAGAACATGCAAGTTTGAGTAATGATGAATTTGGCATTGAATCAAAAAGCAAACAAATACTTTTTTTACACGGAGGCCTCGTTTCGGAATAAGTATAAGAATTGATAGACAAATACAATCGAGGTGTGTCAAATATTGGAAGGAGTGGAAATTGGACTGAATCGGAAAAATTTCCAATTTTGTAACATTTTTCATTAATAAATCCAGAATTTTCGATTTTGATTTTTCCGATTTTTTTTTTATCGGAGTTGGAATTTAAATGAGATTCCGATTTCAATTTCCGGAAATTCCGTTTTCCCTAAAATTACACTTATGATATCGATATTACTATGCATTTTATATTTTAGGTGACTAAAACTGGAATTTCCTAATTCCGTCGATTCCGATCCGGAAATTCCGGATTGGAACAAGTGCTAATTTCTATCTGATTGTCCGATTTCCACTTGGCTTGGCTTTGAAGCCCGTGATTAAAAAAGAGAGAATCATAAACAAGGATTATGTAATCATAAAGTGCAAACCAAAGATAAGCACTCATTACATTAGTACAGAAATGAAGCATACAAAGAGAAGAATCATACCGCGGGCCGGGCTCTTTTGGGCCGTGACCTTCTCAGCTCCACCAGCTTATCAGCATTAGCCACACCAAGAACCGCCGATTCATACGTCCCGAAATTCCCGACAATTTTCTTATCGGACTCCAGCCTCAAATACGCCTCGACCCGGTTCGGGGCGGAAGGCCCGGTCCACTGCCTGGAGTGAAACAACAACCCCATCTCCGCCGGAATTGAATCAAATCCACAAGCTGAAATGACCAAAGAGCCCTTCTCCGCCGCCTTGTCGTGGTACGAAGCCTCCATTCTCTCCATGAAATCGGGCTCCCCGCAGATGTCCAAGTAATCGCAGCCCGATTCGACACAGGCCGCAACGACGGGCTCCCCGTAGAGACGAAACGGGCCGACGCAATCCAGAATGATCTTCGCTTGGGACGCGATGCGGGTCAGGGAGTTCGGATCCGATGTGTCGGCGGTGAGGAGGGGGATTTTGGGCGGCGGATTCGGAGCGGAGGCCCATTTCAGTGCTTCGGACAATCTGGACGGGCTTCGGCCCGCCAAGGCTAGGGTTTTGAGGGGCGAGTTCGGCGCGTTGAGGAATTTGAGTGCTTCTCGGACAACGTATTTGCCGGTGAAACCGGAGGCGCCGAAGATCACTACATCGTAGATTCTCGAACTGCGGCTGGAGATTTGGTTTTGATTATCATCCGCCATTGTTGAATTTTTTATCCTAGAAGAGTGTGGATCTTCGTTTGGGGTTTTTGGAGTATTGTAAATTTGTAATCTTTACTGAGTTAGAAATGCGTGCTTCGGTTCAGTAGTTGAACATTCACTATTGCATGTTTGTTTGGAAACTCCGTTTCTTTTACCTTCAATTAATTATTAATTTAATTAATATAAGGTTGGAAATTGGAATTGATTTTCCAAATTCCACTAATTCCGAAATGGAGGCTTCCGATTTTAGAATAAATACCGGATTGTAACAGTTCCGGTTTTTTTTCAACCTTTTCCGGACAAAATTGAAAATTATATCAGATTCCAATTCCGGTTCGATTTTAATTTCCAAAAATATTTTCGAAAATTTTAATTTTTTTTCCCCCAGAAATTTACACAATGATATCAACATTATTTTGTATTTTATATTATAAGTGACTAAAATTGAATATACCGAATTCTAATTTGGACAATATTTTTCATTCTAATTTTCGAAATTCCAATTTCCGTTGGTAATTTTCCAGAATATCATTATTTTAATTTAATAAAAAATTATAACATACACCAGACAAATAAAGTTTAATGTTCAGTTAAAACTCTACAAGGCTATATCCAGCAGTTCTTCTCAAACCTTTTCCCTTAGCAAGAAATCCCACACGCGCCACCTCATCCCATCTCCCTCCTCCAGCATACATGTTCGACACCGAACAGTAAACGCTTCCGTTCTCCGGGCCCACATCCAATATCCACCGTCCGATTCTCTCACCCATCTCCGAATCTCCATAAACCCTACAAGCAGAAAGCAGAGCACCAAGATTTGAAGCATTTCTCGTCGAAGGGAAACATTCTAGAACATTGTAGGCTTCTTCTAATCTCCCGGACCGACCTAACAAATCCACTACACAACCATAATGCTCGTCCGATGGAACTATTCCGTATTCGCTCTCCATGGACCTGAATGCAGACAATCCCTCCTCCACAAGTCCATTATGGCTGCATGCTGATAGTATCGCCCTAAATGTAACTCCATCGGGACCCACATTCTCGTTTTTCATCTTTTCTATCAATTCGAAGGCCCCACCAAAGTCACCATGCATACCGTACGCAGCTATCATCGTATTCCAAGAAGACAAATGCTTTTCAGACATGTGCTTGAATAGATTCCTCGCCGTTTCGAATTTCCCCCATTTGCTGTACGTGGTGATAAGTGAATTCAACAACGTTGTATCTTTTTCTAGAAAGAGTCTATAAATACGAGCATGCACTTCTTTTACTAGGATTAAACATCCTAGTTGGTTCAATATCTGAACCAGACATGTGAACGTAATAGCATCACTGTGTAGATTCTCTCTTTGCATCAGTTGAAATAATACACCGCTTCGTTCAGAAATCCGTTGTTCACAAAACCCGTCATCATTGAAGTCCACGTCACCCTATCCTTGATCTTGATCTTGTCAAACACTTGCTTAGCTGATTCTACGAAGCCGCATTTTGCGTACGTATTTACGAACTGATTTGATATGTCGGTGTTTGCTTCTAGCCCTTGTCGGTAAACATATGCATGAATCGATTTGCTTGTTCGAACGTATTTCGTATCGGACAATGCAGAAAGGACACTGATAATAGTACCCGTATTCGGTCTGATACAATTAGTGACCATTTCTTGAAATGTCTCTAAAGCTTCGAAAACACGTCCGTTATTGAGATAGCCACTAATCATCACATTAAACAAAGCATCGTCCTTATTAGTCTCTGTCGTGCGAAAGATATTAGTTGCTTCAGATAAGTGCTTGCATTTGGAATACATATCGATCAAAGCTGTGGTGCAAACAAGATCAAGATTGACTCCTTTTCGAAGTATGTGACAATGGATAGCCTTTCCTACGAGCAAATAGCCTAAATCTGCACAACACAAAAGCCCGTTTGCTAGAGCGATCAAATCAAGATCGCATTTACTACTGACCATTTGGAGAAAATGGTCAAATGCTTCCAACGGCTGTTGTAATTGAAGATGACCAGTTATTAAAGCATTCCAAGAACCGGTAGTTTTTTGGGTCATCTTATCGAATATCATGGCTCCGCTGTATGGATCGCCGCATTTTATGTACATATCTAATAAACTTGTTTCGAAAACTTCATTTAGGCGACCGATTTGTCTTCTAATTGCGTAGCCATGTATAGATCTCCCGTTTTCCAGTGTTCTTAGTCGCGATGCACACTGTAGTAAACTCACGAGTGTTACCCGATTAGGCTCGAATCCATTCATCTGCATTTCCTTTGCAACTCTAAAAGCCTTGTAGGAGTGATGGTTGCCAAGTTGAGCATACCCTGTTATCATTGAAGTATAAGCAACCACATCTCTGTCGGTTATTTCATCGAACACTTTGGCTGCATCCCCGATTTTATCACACTTCGTGTAGAAATTAATGAGCGACGATCCCACAAATGGATCATAACTCAATCCGAATTTAAAAGCATCAGCATGAAGATTCCTTCCGAACTCAGTCGCGCCCGATTCAACACAGCTTTTCAAAGCAAAAGTGATTGCTGCACCATGAATCCCAATTTTTTTCTGCTTCAAATTCGAATAAAGCCGTAAAACTTCACCGTATTCATCAGCTCTGAAACATCCAACGATGATTGAACTCCAAACAGAAAGATCTGTATTGATGATTTTGTTGAAAACCCATTTGGATTCGGCCAACAGATTGAATCTTGCGTAGGAATTAAGAAGCTTGAAGCACAGAAATTCGATCTGGTCAAACCCTTGAGTAATCACGCAAGCATGCAGCTTTCTCAAATCACTGATCTCTGTACACTTCTCCAAACAAGAAGCAAATTTATCTGTAATGGAAGTTGTGTAATTTTTGCATCTCAGCATCTGTACAAATTTTTTTTTTACTGAAAACTGGGATAGTTTATATTTTTTAGGATAAATTACGAAAACCCCCTAAACTTAGGCTAAGTAACGAAAAATACCCTCATCTATCCGTAATAACCAAAATCCCCCTCTGATTAACTGTTGATCGAGTTTTTTAACAGAAAATGTATACAGTCTATTATACCTTCTGTTAAATAGGTGAAAAATAAAAGAAAATATCTGAAATTGTTCTATTCCTAAATTGAAAAAATAAATAAAAAATCCGTGAGAAGTCACATTATAACAGACGGGGTAAGATGGAAACAAACCGGGGAGGGGGGGGGGGGGGGGGTAATTAAAAAAAAGTTGAAGCGGTTTTTGTAATTTAATCTAAGTTTTGGGGTTTCTTAATTTACCCTATTTTTTATTACATATTTTATTTTATTTTTTCAAATTGAGCTCGATTCATTATGTGAACGAACCCAGCTGGAACGAGAGCTTTTAACGATCGATCTCGAATCGAGTAATTTGGTTTAACCCTGCAGCTAGAAGACTAGTTCAATACTGAGCATTACATATTGCATTGGTTAAGAAATGGCATCAAATTCATATGAATTATTAAAAATAGAATTCTATAACTTCATAATAATAATATATTCACATAAATTGGTATTTTAAAAAAAAAAAAAAAAAAAAAAAGGAATCTTGATCAAGAAACTCTGTCAGCACTTAACTGTAAAAGAAAGAACAGCATTAGCACACCTCTGCCTAGGCAACCTCCTAGTCCTCTTCCCCCATCCACTCAAACCGTTTCTCTCTTCGATTCCACAAACGGGCTGCTCCATTTCGCAAACGGGTCGCTCCGTTTCAGTCGAGCAAACCGTTTTCGCGGCCGAACACGTAGTAGTATTCAAACGCTTCCTCCCCCTACCGTTTCTCACAGACCCCCGTTGAGACAGTCTCAACTGCCAGTTGCCGCCTTGTTCCCCTTTCATCAGCTCTTCAAACGTCTGGAAATCCTCCGCCACCTGTCGACGTGACAGCGTGATCAAACCCGGGAGTACGTCCCTCTGAAAATCCTTTCTTTGTTGCCTCCCTCTTCTCGACTGCCCTCTTCGAGACGATTTGGATAAACTCGCTCGGTTGTCATCATCGGTTGGAGGGTTGTTATATAGCTCGAACGGCGTGTAGTGATAGTGCTCGTCTTTTGTGTCCTCTAATTTCAATGTCGTGAGTTCGAATTCGTCCATTTCGTCGCTGTATTGCGAAGAAACGATTTCGGCAAACCATTCGAGATTATTGTTATTATTATTATTACTGCTCGATTCGACTTCTGCGGATGATGGCGTTGATGACATGGTGATTATGGCCTCGGCTGCGATTCTGTCACGCTCTTCGTAAGAAATGTCGGTTAATTTCTCTGTGTTGACTTCTTTAGGAGATGCATTTGTGGTGGCGATTTCGGAAATTGCTGACGTGGCATCTTCCTCGTCGTCCAAAGACATGTTCAAGTCGATATGATGCATCGAATTAGCCTTTGAGACATTTTTGTCATCGGAATTTAGATCCTTAAAACTTTGAACCATGTCGAAAATTGGAAAACCGAGAATCTTTGGAGAGAGTTCCGTTTTTGGCTTCAAAGTCCGGAAGGTTCCGTCGGGTACTTCAGCTTTCTTGAAAAAATCCATAGAACAATTCTGCAAAGAGTCCATATTCATAAAATAAGAACTCTTCTTCTCTTTGCTCATATCATTACTAACTTGTGAAGTTCGAAGAAACCAAGGTAACCCTCGATTTTGATTTTCTGAATCGTTCTTCGAAATTTCCGATTTTTTCGAGTTTATATCGTTCGAATTCTCGAAATATTTCACGGGTTCTCTTTCAACTGCCTTCGAATGTTCGTTTTTGCCATCAAGATTGAATTTTTGCATGGACGTACTAGCGATCCAAGAGGATGGCTCGAAAGAGACAACACGGTGATTTTCTTGTTTTGGTCCGAATTTCGGACCCAAAGTACTTGACATAGGTGGATTGAAATCGAATAAATCATCACTTTCTTCGTAAATCTCGACCCCAAAAATTTTCTTACTCCGACGATTCAAGAATTCCTTTTTCGGCTCAGCCAATAGTAGCGATTCAGGAGATGCAAGTGGCTCGCGATCATATCTCCTCCCTTCTGAAAAAATCCCAAAGAACCAAAACGAAACTAAACCATTGGCACAATAAAAAAAAATCTCGAAAAATGTAACGTAAATGTTTTTTTAGGCTTACCAGAAAGACCATCGTACAAATGCTCTTTCCCATTCTTTTCGTTCGTTCCAATGATGGAATTTTTCAAGAGATCTTTCGTCACGAGATTAAATTTCGAACATGAATTCGCCGACACTTCTCCATCTATTGGATTGGTTATCCTTAAATCTCCCGTATGACAATCGGTTCTTTTGAAGTACAAATTATACATAGAAGCATCGGCATTGTTATTACACGGAGATGATGTTTGGACAGTAGTTAGAGATAATTTAGTGTCTCTATTGTACGAGGCCTGATCGACCAGGGGCATTTTAGGAAATCCGAGTTCATATGTTCCGTTTGGGAAAACACCGCCCCGTTTGACTTCGTTCGTCAGCTCTTTCTGTCTTCTATAAACACGGTGCAATTCTTGAAGCTGATTAAAAAAAATGCACGAAATCCGATTAAATTAACATAGTAGTATTGGAGTTAAAAGAGTGAAATGACACATTTATACCTGTTGTCTGAAAATCGATTCATGCTCGAGAATTGTCTGCCTCACTTTCTCCGGGTCATTTTGAAACGATTGGTTTCCGAGATAGTGGGGCCCCATAGGAGGGTATTCCCGTAATAAAGTATTAGCTCGTATTTTAGTTCCCATTTCTGAAATCAACAAAAGATAATAGAAACTATAAAATGTCGAAATCGTCGGTTCTTATGCCAAATCCATGCAGCATATATATATGTACAGTTCATTCAAACTAGATAATTCCTATTGCAATGTAACAATCAGAAAAATGTTACTATATATACACATCCTCAACAGGCAGTTGTCTTAACTATTGCAATTTTAATCGAACAACGCCGGTTCGTTTTTCCTGTAAGAGATTCACCGTGTTGTCGATTCAATGTATGCCCAAAAAAATTAAAAATTAGAAACAAATCATTGTGCAATTTCCTGAATTGTTCATTTCAAAATCAAGAAAGTGGTACATATGAAAAAAAAAAAAAAACAAGAAACAGCAAAATTAAGCTACAAAATTCATAGCAGAAGCCATCCCACATCACACAATCATCGAATAGAATTATAAATAAATAAAAAAATTAAAAAAATCATAAAAACTCATACAGTCATACTCAAACAATAAAAAATAATAATAATAAATTAATTAATTAAAAAGAAAAAAACAAGAATTACCTCACACAGAGATTCTTTGTTCCAGAGTTCTTTAAAGCTGGAATGTAAAAATCTTCTGAAGTAAAAGGACAAGAATTGAAGGACCCCAGAGAATTAAAGCTGGAATCTTTTTACTGCCATTGGAGAAGAACCTTCAAAAGCAAATAAAAAAGATCACACCCCACAAATTAATTATATAAATAAATAACAATTGTTCATCAATTCTTGATCAACAGCACATGTGTGTGTGTGTGTGTGTGTGTGAGAGAGAGAGAGAGAGAGAGATCCAAGATAAGATCTCCCTTCAGACAAACAGAAAACATGAACAAGTGTATATATGTAAAGAATTAACAATGACTTGAAATTTGTAAAACATACCTTATTCTTCTTTCTATGTACTTCTCTCTCTCTCTCTCTCTCTCTCTCTCTCTCTCTCTCTCTCTCTCTCTCTCTCTCTCTCTCTCCCCCAAGTTTCTGAGTCAATCATTTCTTTCCCATTTCGCCATATGAAAGATTTTATTACAGTACAGGAGAGAGGAGAGAAAAGATAACACACTATCTAAAGAGAATACATTTATATATTATTTAGTATATATTATATTTCAACGAGATTTTCTTGGTTTGTACCAAGTGAAAGAGGCATGGGCATCTCATCTCTCTTGTGACATTTATTTTTCAAGATTCTCTCACCTTCCATGTCTTTTGGGCTTGCACAATATAATTTTAGCTTAAATTATGGTCACCCCTCGAGTAGTGTCAAATTACTAAAAAAATCCTCATGTTTAAGTAATTACAATCATACCCTCAGTTATGAGTCTTCCTACGCATTCACACTTATGGTATCAAATTTGTACTCGTTTTACAATAGTCGAACCCCACATTATGAAACAAGATGATCATAAAATCGTGTCCCTTTGACTTGTAAATATCAGATTGTGGTGCATTAGGAACTGCGTTTTTGCACAAAAAAAGTACAAACTAGAGAACGTTCCACGGAATCTAGAAGATTACGTTGAATTTGACACCATCAGAGTGAACGTGTAAGAAGACTCATAGTTGATGACTCGTAATTTATCCTATAATTTCGTGTAAATAATTTTTTTCCACGTGGATATGTTTTTTTTCTTTTAATGAAATATAATATTTTTGTTTCTTTTAATAAATTATTGTATAATGGAATGGGGACACATGATTTAACTTTGCAACAACTAATGGAAATCAACAGTTTTCCTAAAAGGCATCTAAGTGACCTCATCTCACTTGCTCCCCCCCTACCCCACCCACGCGCACGGTTGGCGACTGACAGATATTCTCCCCTCTGTGAGAAAGTACGACGAATCTCATCTGTCTGGCGAGTGGATTTCACGTGCATCATGTGGCGCGTCTGCGGACGATGATTCCTTAGATTGACTCGTGAATTGGCTCTTACATGAGAATTTACAAATGACCTAAATCTCAATAGGCAGCGAAGATAAGATATTTATTTATTGCATATAAGGACCTCTATATCTCATTTTATTTAATCATTAATTAATTGGTTGACAAATCAAAATAATTTTATTTTATAAATCAACATATAAACTATAAATTATCATATATTTCTTTTTTTTTTTAAAGAAATTAGCACTCACAACCCACATATAGTAGACTCTCAATAAATTAATAACTTCTGTTAAATAATAATTTATCCTGATCTCAACTCGGTAAAACTATTCATTCGATAATATAATATTTCACTAATGTAATTTTTTTGATCTCGACTGCGTAGTCTTGAAGGGGCCGTTTTCCTCACCTACCCTAATTAAAAACAATTTAAAAAAAAAAAAATCAACTTCATTGAAAAGATTAATTAATAAGCAATTAATATTTACAGCTTCGCCCATAGATACATTAGCATTTATTTATGAAGAATAATGGCAATGAAAGTGGACTATTCTACAAGCTTTTTTACACTTCATTATAAAATACTTAGATCGAGTAAACCATCTATTTTGAAAATCGAACCGGCCGGTTTAACTGCTAGGGTTAGTGCTAGATAATGGATGGGTTGTTGGATCTGTTTTGTGTTGCCAGTGCATAGATGGTCCCTAATTATATATATATATATATATATATATATATATATATATATATATATATATATATATATATATATATATATATATATATATATATATGTATGTATATGTATATTAATAATGGGCAGACATTATTTCAAGATTTTCATTTCACTTTTCCATTTTTAACTTTTATAAGATAAAGTCATGTAAGAAATCAAGAATTGGTGCATAATTCTATTCATTTATCATTTTATTTTTATTTGTTTTAATTATTATTTTTTTGCTATAATGAGCTTCAATAATGCATAAAGATGAATAATTTTAAGTGACTTATTTGGGCATTTTTCATTAAAGGAAGTTGTGGGAAAATAATAAATATATATAGAAAGTATATATTACTATTTTTACTAAATATCAATTTTGTTCTTCTCAAATTGGCTAATGCATACATGCTTTTGATAAAGGCATATTACCAACCGAACCGTCGTTAGCAGAGTTGGTATATAGCCTCGATTACTAGTGCAGAGGTGTACGGTTCGAATTATGCGGTTTAACCGTGACCCAATCGGTTGTCCGCTTCTTTGTCCGGATCGGTTTTAAAAAACATTTACATTACTTTTTGTAAATTTTTAAAATCACGTTAGATGTATGGTAATATATGTGTTTGTATATTAAAAGTTAGTTATGATAATTAGTTGAATTGGAGACTTAAGGTTGATTTTAAATTAATTAGTAGGCTTTCTACTTTTTTTTTACAATATAGTTATTTAAAACTATATACAAATAATTTCCTAAAAAAAAACTATATACAAATAATTAAAAACAAAAGTACATCAAATAACCCAGATAAATCTCGGTCGCTCCAACCGTGAACCAATTGTATGCTAGCTTATGTAAGTCCGATTTTAAAAACATTAATGATTCTAACAATTCAATTAAAAATGTGACGGTTTTTTTGGAGAAACTGAACAGGTCAACTGAAGATAGATTTCGCATGGTTCAAGCTTGAATTTTGTGACGAATTTAAAAAAGGAGATGGGCCGGGCCGGGCCGGGCTATAAGTGAAAAAAAAAATCAAGATTATATGGTATTTATTATCTTTAGTTATTAAATTAAAATATTTTAGATATAAAATTTGCATCAACATAAAATTCACAATTATCCCAATTTTAGTTCTTCTATACACAAAATTAGCATTTAAAATAAAATAAAAAAATAATCACCAAACTTTGGTTGGGCCCACAAGCCCGAGAATCTCTTCCCAAAGCCCAATACTCCCAATACTAGAAAGCCCAACAACACTTGGGCTGCAAGCAACCACTGTCCAATAACCAGAATTAACCTCGTGCCTCAACTGCTCCTTCTCCCACGCGCAGTACCCATCGAAGAATCTAAAATCCGCCGCCTGCAAAACTTCTCTCTCCACCATTTCAGCTGCGCGGCCCACGTTTTCCTTCGTCCCGTAATACAGACCTTTCATCACCTCGTCGAGCGCGCCGCTCTTACAGCAAACGCCGTCGTTTTCTTTTTCCGGGTTCACCAAGAACATGCCCTCTTCCAGTGGTCCCCCGTAGAACAGCGGCCCGTCGGAGAATGCGCCGGAGACGTCCATCGCCGACGAACGTATCTCCTTGATCGACATGAGCGACGGCCGGTTCAGTATGAGCCCGGTCGGCCCGATCGGGCCGGTGGATAGTAGCAGGACGACGGTTCTTTCGAAGATGTGGACTCCGTCGAGCTTCTCCGTCGCGATTAGCAGACACCCTTTCTCCGGCTCGTGGATTCTGTGGGCCCATTTTGCCGGAGGAGGATGATCGGAAAATTGATCGGCCGCCGGAGGAAGATTTTCCGGCGGGAAAACACGTTCTCTGGCTACTAGTCTTGCTCGGAACGATCGCCAGTCGGAGCTGAGAAATGGGCCTTCTTCTTCCGACAGTGAACCTTATTTGTGTTGGCAATTAGAAAAAAAAAAAAAGATTGGATTTTTATTAGAAAATAATCAAATATGCATAATTATTTAATAATTAAAAAAAAGATCGGATTTTTATTACTTCTTTGAGTTAGAAAATAATCAAATATGCATAATTATTTAATAACTGAAAAACAAAAACATACATGCTACAGAAAATTGCGCGCCAAATTTCTTAGTACGAAGCAGCTTCTTCCTCGTATAGAAACAAACTCTGCCTCTAACTGAGGGAAGAACTTCAATTTTTTTTGTGAAGGAATTAGGAGAGAGAAAGCAAGCGTCCATCGTTGTTTATTTTTCTCTCTCAAGTTTCATATATATATATATATGCAGAAAAGTAAAGGGATACATATCCATGAGGATAAGGGGAAATTTGGATGCATATGTATTAGTGGGAGTGTGGCTGAATTCAGACCACCGAATTGCTTTGTTCTTGTCTAAGTGTAGGGTGAAAAGTGCAGAGGACCCATCCCTTTGAGTTTTAAGTACACCAAAAGAAGTTGGGAGTGACCTTTGACACGTGGCGTTGTCTGATTGGTAGCCCTTGGATATTGCTAATTCTAGTTTGTGAACACTTGATCCGGAGGATGTATGTAGAGTGTAGACCCTCCGATCGCTTTTCGGATCCCGATTGTCTTGACGGTGAAATAGTCGGTATGTATTGCATCCCTCTAGATAGGGCTCGGTGAAGTTTTTTTTCCGTTCGGAGGCAATGCCCGCAATTTTTCTTTTACCGAGTGTGTATGTATACATTGTATATACAATCATTCATTAATCATCCAATATTTACACTTTTTCCACAGGCTAAGTATTTGTTTAGCATTTGTAAAACTTATCAAAATTATAACCTTATAAGAAAAATGAACATGATTCATTCATGCCTGACTGCAGAGATGTCTTCTAAACAACAACATTTGGAACACAAGCAATTTTCCTAAGATGCTGACTCAGCCCATCGACTGTCTCGTATATGCTGTCCGATTTGGGGTGGGTAGTATCCATAACCGTAAACTCATGAAACTCGTCATGCAGCTCTATCGAACTAACTCCCTTATTAGCCCTTTCGCCACCTGTCTCTTTCATCCTCGATCTCACACTAGCAACACTCCCCCAATCTCCCGCATTAGCATGTATATTCGACATCATACTGTAATTCCGCGCGTTTTCCGGATCCAATTTAACCAACTGATCAAGAACCTCGTTTGCTAATTCCACCGCATTATGCATTCGACAAGCCCCTAAAAGAGAGCTCCAAATCACGACATTCGGCTCGAACGGCATGCTGTGCAGAAGACCGAATGCTTCGTTTAGGCAACCCCCGCGCCCCAAAAGGTCAATCATGCAACCGTAGTGCTCGATTTCAGGGGCGATTTCGTAATCACTCTCCATGCTGTAGAAATGGTGGATCCCATCCTTGACCAAACCGGAATGACTGCAAGCGGAAAGAACAGCGACGAAAGTCACTTTATCGGGTTCAAATCCCTCTCGTTTCATCCTATCGAAGAGCTGAAGGGCGTTTTTACCGTGACCGTGCATGGCTAAGCCATGGATCATCGCATTCCACGAGATTAAATCTTTTCTTTCGATGGAGTTGAATATACTCCATGCCCGGTTTAAGCTGCCGCACTTGCAGTACATGTCGACCAATGCGTTGTTGACCAACGTACTGCATTTGTAACTAGTTTTCGTTATGGATTGGTGGACTTTCTTGCCTAACCCTAGCAAACCAGACTCTGCACTAGCCGATAGAATGCTGACGAAACTCGTGTCGTCTGGCCTCAATTTTTCACCCTCCATTCGATGGTAGAGTCCAACGGCTTCCTTTCCGTTCCCCTTTTCCGCGTAACTCGATATCATTATCGTCCACGTCACCAAATTCTTGGCCGGCATACTATCGAACAGCACCTTAGCCATATCAATGTCGCCTGCTTTGGCATAACCCGAGATAACCGTCGACCACGACACGACATCTCTAGACGGCATCTTCTCGAATATCTGGTACGCAGTGCGCATCTCTCCTGCCTTGACGTACCCATCCAGAATGGCGTTCCAGCTCACCCTATCTCTCTCGGGCATTTCGTCGAACAGCTTCCTCGCCTCCTTCAACTCGCCCGCTTTCACCAGTCCGCTGATCATCGAATTGTAAGTGACCAGGTCCCTCTCCGACATCACACCGAACAGCGTCTTCGATTCCTCAAGACCCGTCAGCCCACACTTGGAGTAGGCATCGATCAGCGAATTGGGCACGAACAAATCCGAGTAAAAATTGCATTTTTCGACATGGGCGTGAATCATTTTAATCGATTTCAACCCCGAACAAGCCTTCAGAAGAAATAAATACGTGTAGTTATCCGGCGAAACCCCCGAACACCGCATTTCACAGAAAACCTCAAAAGCCTTATCGGGCCGAGAGTTCTGAACGTAGGCCTTAATCAGAGTGTTCCACAGGTGAGAATTGGGTTCCTCGACCTGATCGAATACATTGACGGCTAGCGCCATTTGACGGCACAACGACAACGCGGAGACGAGCTTGGGGGCAACGAAGGGGTGGTTGTGGAGATTTGATTTGTATATGAGCGCGTGGAGTTGCTTCAGCTGGTTCAAATCGGTGCACTTGTGGAGGTCCGACAGTTTTTGCTCGAAAAGCCGCCGCCGGGAGAGAAACGTCGGAGCTCGAATCGGCGCGGGCATCTGCATTTTTTGTAGTGCCGGGGTTTTTCTTTGAAATTGGGGTTTGAATGGACGGGAAAGAATTAAGCTTGGAGATAAGTATATATTTATTTATTTCTGTAAACACACCATTATTTTCATGTAAATACCATTGTAACCCCTATAGAGTGGGGTATGTGACATATTACCCCCTCTACTATTAGTCTATTATTACTTGTGATAATTACATGTTGCCATTTAATAGCAATGATTAAGAGGTCATTAGTAGTTTGATTAGTGTTCCTAGAATATCTACCTTTTCCATGATTATAAGAGTAATCAAAAAAATTATTAGGAGAATTGAAAATGAATTTAATTTTTTATATTCTTTTAAATAATGAAAAAAAAAAATCACGACTCTGTTCTATAGATGCACTGAATATACTCTCATTCGTGTACAATTGCTTGTAAATCACACAAGAAACGTAATTTGTAATTTCGTACTATACATAAAATCACGCGTGACAAATTGGACCTATAAATATTGACAAATTGTAGATTCAAACGTGAATCATTTGATTCCACCATGCTCTGTTACTCTTAATATCTTATAAAATTACATCCTTACCCCTCTAAATATTTCATTCTTTTCGTTCATTTTTCACTACCCCTCCATACAACTCGTAAAATATTTCAATTTGCTTTGCTTCGCTTTCATGTTATGGTTCATATTATTTTTTGTGTTTTCAATGTTCGTTGTTTTGTTCATTATTCATTGATATATGTCGTTTTTTTTTCTTTTGCACAACCTCGCCTCTTTTTTAAATTATGCGACAATAATGATGAATAACTAGACAATAATGAATAAGACTAAATTCGACAGATCAACATTTTATATTTATATTTTCAATAAAAAAAAAAGCCCAACAAACAAATATCAAGATAATAGCCAAAAGTTGGGCTCGAAATCTACTAGCCCAACTCCATAAATCTCATAAAAAAGGAAGAATTAATAATTCAATTTTAATCAAAATTAGTACGATTTATTTAGGTGGCGTTTGCAAATGATTATTTAAAAGCAGAAGTCAGTGATTGTGATTTAAGTTAGTTTTAAGTGTTTATTTTTAAAAGTTGGGGGTGTTTGCAAATATTTCAAAAAATGAACTAAATTGAAAAAGCAGGATTATGGGTGCTTTTAGAAAAATAGCTTAAAACAGATTATTTTAAGAGAAGCAAAAGCAAAAGTTGATTTTGTAAACACGTAAAAACAGATTATAAACAAAAACACCGCATAATTACTTTTAAAAAACATTTACAAACACCAACTTTCACTCAAATGAGGTTAATTCCACTATTAAAAAGTAATCAAATCATAATCGCACTCTTCTGTTGCGATGAACTGACAACCACCTACTTTTGTATAAAGGATTAGGATTGATAGGATTGATAATCATGGATTATGGAAGAAAGGTAGATAGAGATTAATTAGGGTTAAATTACGGTTACCAACCAAAACAAAACAAACCAAACCAACAATGGCGATTCCACCTACCACGGTTAAGCAGGAGCAACAACCCAATCACACATCAAATACATATGCTTCAAATTCAATTCACTCTCCAACAACTCCCATTTCCGCTTTGCTTCTATTGCTTTTGCTCTCACCAAACCAAATCAGAATAACCGTCTCCTCTGCGTTTGGTGTTCTTCCCCCAATTTGTGTGTTCGTCGTAATTTTCTTCATTCTCTCTTTCCGATTTCAGAAATGGAGGCCATGCTGTTGAGAACCACCGCCGCCGCCGCCGCCGCCGCCGCCGTGCTCAGCCCCTGCACTACTTCCAGCAAGGTTTCAATATCCGGCGGCTGCTCTTTTCCCCAACACAAGCATTGTAGCTTCCGCGTTCTGAATTCCGGCTTTTCCAGTATTCGCATTCAGGCGATTAAAGCTTCTCCGTCTACCCCTGAGTACAATTTTTTATTTATTTAATTTACTTTAATATATGTATATTTTTTTGTTTATTATTTGTCTCTTCTTCGTGTTGTATGTTCTGGCACATAAGAATTGGGGAAAATTGGTGACTGATTGAGGTTTTTGCCTGAGGCATGAGTTTTTTTGTGTTGTGTGTAAAATGCAGAGGCATTTGCGGCAGACTTACAATTACGAGTGTCTCTATTCAATTTAATCCCTCCTTAATCGGATAATCTTTTCGAACATGATAATAAAACGTTAAAATGTGTCCTTAATTATGTGATTTTTTGATATCTTTTTGGTTTGCGTTTCCTCATTGAGTTGCTTGCAAGTTTACCTTCGAATGTAATACAAAAATCGTCATAGGAGAAAACAAGTATCACTTTCCTAAGATTAGTTGTGTACACGAATCGAGCCATGTTTAAGATTATTTGAATTTTTATCGAACTCTCAATCTTTTGTTTGGATTTGGTTTGATAAGCAATCACGAATGTTAATCGAGCCGAACACGAGTCGAGCTTGAGTAGCTCGATCTTTTGTACATATTTTACCATTGTTTTGTACATATTTTTATCGAGCTTTTGAAACTTGTGCTTGATTTTTTTTTATTTCCACCTAATGTTCCTACACGAGTTAGCATAACACTAGAGAACGTTGTTTTGTGCCTTCTTTAAAATCTCCTGTGGGATTTTATGTGACAAAACGAATCAAATTTGTTCATACAAGTGATTAATGAATCTTGTTTCTTTTCAGAGTGGAAAAAAACAGGGTAGATGAATCTCATAGATACACTCTGGACGGGATCAGAAACTCGTTGATACGGCAAGAAGATAGCATTATATTCAGTCTAGTTGAGAGAGCTCAGTTTTGTTACAACGAAAAAACGTACGATCCCAATGCTTTTCCCGTGAAGGGATTCCATGGCTCTTTGCTCGATTACATGATCAAAGAAACTGAAAAGCTTCAGGGGAAGGTATATATTTAATTTCTGCGCCTTTCTTGAAATTTTTATTGCTAAAAATTGACATATTTATTTAATTCATATTTTTTATGTGGTACATAGGTTGGAAGATACAAGAGTCCGGACGAACATTCTTTCTGCCGAGATGAGTTGCCTGGGCTTGTGATTCCCCCACTTGAGTATCCACGGGTAAATTATAAAAATAATATTTGTTTTATGTTTATTTAATCTTTTAAAATACATGGCCTGATTGTCAATAAACTTGTAGCAGCTAACTTTAAGTATTTTGATGATGTCACTGCAAATCTTATTACAGGTTCTGCATCCTGCAGCAGACTCGATAAATATCAATGCTCAAGTGTGGGATATGTACTTCAAAATTATCCTCCCTCGATTAGTCAAACAAGGCGATGATGGTAATTATGGATCAACTGCCACTTGTGACATATTTTGCTTGCAGGTATGTATAGATATATATTAGCTTTATTGAAAATGCATTGAAATATGAGTTAGTATATGTATCTGCTACATGTCAAGAATGCGATATGGAGATTTTTGACATATTTCAAATGTTGTTCGATCTTATAAATAAAGAGACTGCTACACTGCCTTTTTGCAGACATTGTCGAAGAGAATTCACTATGGCAAATTTGTGGCTGAAGCGAAATTCCGGGCCTCCCCCGATGTATATAAGGCTGCCATTGAAGCACAAGTAAGTTAACTAACACCAGTTTCAAGAATGCATACATGTTAATACATACATATGGCGAAACAGAAATTTTATTTCGACTGCACCGAAAATGATGCAGGATAAAGGCCGATTGATGGAGTTGCTGACATATCCAGCGGTGGAAGAGGCGGTTAAAACGAGGGTGGAGATGAAAACACGAAGATGCGGGCAAGAAGTGATTTTAGATGGAGGTGAAGAGAATGCCCAACCATTCTATAAAATAGATCCGAGCCTAGTTGCTGATCTGTATGGGGATTGGATCATGCCTCTGACGAAGCAAGTTCAGGTTAAGTATTTGTTGAGAAGGCTCGATTGAATTGAAACAATTGTTGGATGAAATTTACTATGCGCATATGTTCATAGATGTTCATAGAGATGTGTACTTCTATAAGAGTTTCTTGACTGTGTTGTACAATCATGTGTGTGTGTTTGGTGAGGTAGAGAATTGTTAAACCTTAAACCAGCAGTATGGATTTATAGTATGATGAATTTTTTCGAAGTGCTTGTTGCATTGTGTGCGTTTATGAGGATGAAGTGTCCCGTTTTCTCCATTGGAGTTTATTGCATTTAGTACCCTTTTGGGTTGTATCGAATTTCTAAAAAACTCTCCATGTTATTTTATTTGCAAAAACACCCCTATAAAGCATTGTTTTTAGCAAACACCCCCCTAAATAGTGAGTTTTTAGGGGGTAGTTTGCTGAGAACGATTGAATCAATGGTGGTTATTGCCTATAAAATAGCACGAGGAGTTTTTCAGCAATTAGTAATAATAGAGGGGTGCTGAATGCAATAAAAAAAAATATCTCGTGCTTTTGTTCTTTTAGTGGGCTCAGCCCAAATTTGGGCCACCTTGCTTTCAAAATCATGTGAGATGGACCCTTTTGATTTTTATTTTAAATTGTCCTAATTTATGGCAGTCCTATAAATTTGTATATAATATTAATTTGGGTCAACTTGGACCGGAAAAAATACAATTATTGCCCCTCAAGTTTGCAAATACATTTGGTCCATAATGTTTTAAAAATTCAGCTATGTTAGTCCTTTCCGTTAAATTTTAGTTAGCACTAATGGAATCAAGCGTGTGTCTTTCACAGACTTAATTGACGGACTAATGGTAAATTGTGAAAAATACCAAAAAGTGTTATGGCATTAAAATATGAGGGACCAAATGTGTTTTTTGTGAAAATGGATGACCAAATGTGAAATCGGTGCAAACTTGAGGGATAAAACAGTAATTTTCTCACTTGGACCTGAAGTCTTAGAGCATCTCCAACCGGTTTCACCATTTTTTCACCAAATCCTATTTATGGTGGTGAAAAAATGGGTTCATCTCCCACCGGTAGCACACCATTTTACTCTTCCACCATTTTTAGTGGAAAAATGGTGGTTTTGGTCTCCAATGGGTATCACCAAAATTTAGACCAAATATTAAAATAATAATATTTCACCATTTCACCACTTATAGGAAATGAAATTTGGTTTGGTCTCCAATGGCATTTCACCATATATACCCCAAAACTATAAATCTAATGTTAATCGTAATTTTATAATATTTTATTTCGTAAATATTAATTATAGAACCAATGCTAAGTAATAAATTTTCTCAACTAAATAATTTAAAAATTATGTTATTAATCTTAAAAAATTGTCTAAACATGAAATAACATGAACTCAAATTATTTTAAATATAATAAAATCATACATAAACAATAATCTCATAAATTATTGCTTATTGTATTTTATTAATAGCAATTAGCGTATTAGTTAAGTAAAGAAATGAACTAATAAACATTGATACCAACAAAATAAACAAATTAATTAAAAATAAGCATATTTATATTTTTAGAGTTAATGTTTTGTTAATAATAACAAATGTATTTATATTTTAAAAACTAATTTAATAATTAATACCAATGTATTTACGATAAATATGCTAATAAGTTGGTAATCGGGTGCAGTTAGTTAAAATCGTCATTTTATATGGTACTTAATAAAATGGTGTTAATTACGGCAAATCCTATTTTCACCTCTATATTTGGTAGGAAAAATAGGATTTGGTGGAAAAAATAGGAAAATGGTGGACCGGTAGGAGATGAAAATTTCTTCACCAAAAAATTTGGTGGAAAAATAGGATTTGGGTATTTGGTAATATGAGGGTTGACCACGGTTGGAGGCTAAAACCAAATCTCTATAATTTTAGGTGTAATGGTGATATAGGAATTTTGGGTGGGAGGCTAAAAACACCTAAATTAGATGAAAAAGTGGTGTTATGGTGTCCGGTTGGAGATGCTCTTATATGCACACAGCACAATTTGTTAAATATTGAAATAATTAATCGGATTAATTAAAAAAAAAACCCTAAGATAGTTTGCAGTTTGAATAGTTGTTAAATATATAAATTATAATTAGTGATTTGAATAAATGAAATTACCATATTTCCGGAGAAGGAAATAAATATTTATTTAAAGAAAAAAATGATAATTAATTAATAGAGAGAGAGAGAGAGAGAGAGAGAGAGAGAGAGAGAGAGAGAGCATCCCACCGTCAAAATGGTTCCCACTGTCAATTAGCTGTACTAGTGCAGTTTGAACGTTTGCCTGAGAGAAATTTAAATATTGGATAAAAAATATATTAATTAATTACTAATAATGTATGGATAAATACACACACACACACACACACACACACACACACACTATCTGTATCTAATTCAGAACCACCTCGGAGGAGATTGATTTACTACTTACTTTACTAACGTACAGATCTGCACTCTACCCCACACGCCTCTTTTCTTTCTTATTTAGCAGCGTGAGACTGAGTAGAGAGAGAGAGAGAGAGAGAATCCTAGAGAGAGAAAGGATGGAGGGGCTAAGGCGGAGCATTTTGTTGGCGACGGCGGCGCTTATGTTCGCGGCGGTTATGCTGCCGGAGGTGGCGGCGGTGCGGTACATAGTGGGCGCCAACATGGGTTGGACCTCCAATGTGAACTACACTATCTGGGCTCAGAACAAGCACTTCTACAATGGCGATTGGCTCTGTATGCTCTCTTTCTCTCTCTTCCAATTTTCAGATCTGCCTTTTGTTATTATTTTGCTCAATTAATTTACTTTGTTGTGGGCTATTTGTTTCAAAAAAGATCCGTTTTTTATTTAGTTTTTTCTTGATTTCTATAGTTAGATCTGTTGTTTTAATTTGAATTTTCCATGTGTCTCTGTTTAATTTTCTTAATTATCAATAATTATCTTGTTCTTAACTTCTTACATCCTTAATATCTAGAGTTGTTTATGCCTGTTGGACTAAATTTACTAGTGAAAAATTCGATCTTTCGAATTAATGAATGCTTAAGAACTAGCAAATTAGCTGCATATACCGATGAATTGTAGTTATTTTATTTCGTGATTTGCTGTTTATACTTGGGTTATTGCTGTCGAAGTTATAAAGATTAGATTTTTACCTTAATCGTAGCCTTCGAAAGTCGAAACTACGACCGATCGATCTATATATATACGCATGTGCTAGTTGTTTATGTTCGCATAATCGTATCAAATTGCAGCATTGCATCATTAACTAATGGCTCCCTTTATTTTTTCGTAATTCTCAGTTTTCGTGTACGATAGAAACCAGATGAACGTTCTAGAAGTGAACAAGACCGATTACGAGAACTGCATTTCCGATCACCCGCTCCACAATTGGACTACGGGCGCCGGAAGGGACGTGGTCCCGCTCAACGTTACTAGAAACTTCTACTTCATTAGCGGCAAAGGGTTCTGCTTCGGCGGCATGAAGCTAGCGATTCACGTCGAAAATCCACCACCACCGCCTTCGTCTTCGCCGGTAAAGAGCGGTGCTTCGAATTTGCTGCCGGATTTCCGAGGCAAGATTTTCGTGCCGGCCCTTTTCGCAGTTGCTGCTGTGTGGGATTCTTTGCTTCTGCTATTATAGCTGTGTGTGTGTGTGTGTGTGTGTTTTTTCTTCTTGAATTATTTGACCTAATTGTGAAGAATTGTTGTTCCATTTGTTAGTGTTTTTTTTTTTTTTTTTTTTTTATTTATTTAAATTATTATTCACCAATTTGTTTATTGGTCTGAATTTGAAAGTTATTCAGATCAAGATTTGGTGAGTTTGTAGTGAGTGACAACTTTTTAAAGAAAACGTTTTATTTGGGGAATATTATTATATGTTTAAACTTTAATAATTGATTCTTGACTTTGCTTTAATTTGAAATTTAAAATTTAAAAATCTAAAAAATTTAAAATGATTTATGTTCCTTTCACAAAATCTTTGCATGTGGGTAGTGTTGTCATAAAGTTGACCACTATGTACAGCTGCTAATTGCTATGCTCACGTGAATTGTTGCTAAGTACAGATCATATACTCCTTTCTATAATATTATTAATATTAAAATAAAACTAAAAAGATTGATAGTCTTGAAGTTTGACTTGAGTTTTAATTCGATTAAAAGAAATAATGATTCATTTTCGGTTCGGTTCAATTGAAGTTCGTTCGAGCTCAAATATAAATTTTAAACTTCGATAAAAATTCGAGTAAGATTGAACAACTATCTGTTCAGTTGGACTCGATTCGTTTACACTACAACATATAACCAATGGGTGTTTTTTAACTGGGCTTGGGTTGAATGGAAGCTTTTATAACTTGGGCTAACATTTCAAGAATATTGAGCTTTTAATACATATAAGTAGTGGGCTTTCTAAGAATCTTGACAAAATTTGATTTATGACAATATTTCCGAAAATTAAAATTTGATTGAAAATCGGAATCTCAAATATATTATTTCAGTTCTTGTTATAAATCAATCGTGGTTATACTTTGCGGAATCAAACACACACAGTAAGCACATCAACTGTGCGCACTACATATGTGTGCACTACATATCTGACAGCTAATAGGGTTAGCTGTTTTTCCTCCAAGTTACGAACGGCATATAACAACCTCCATGTGCTCCTCACATGCACTTTAACCTCAACTGAATTAGGTGTTAACACATTAATTAGGACTACAGTTTAACAATTCTAATTAAAAAACGAAAAGAAAAAAAAGGGGCAAATCTTTGAAATTCGGTGAAATTTTATATTCTAAAATTTCATTCCAATTTTCACCGGTTCATCTTGCATTTGGCTCTTTCTAACACCAATATTAGTAGAAAAGTAAATTAAAAGAATAATTATCATAAACTTTTTTTAGGAAGATGTATAAATCCAAAGGTATATATATATATACATGCACATACACACACGAAATGAATGCGTGTCCAAAAAAATTGATTGCACAACTGTACCGATGTTTGAATGTGGCTGTAAATAAAATGTTACCACCACTTATTTCCAAAATTGCCCTTCCCTCACGATTTTATTGCTGCTGTACAACTTACATTCATTTATTACAACATACGACGAATCAAAAACCAGCTTTCACTTTCATATATATAAACCAGCCGCCAGTAGTACTGAGTTATATATCTATATACAATACTAATTCATATATACACCATAAGTGGCGGGCCGGAAGCGAGATGGGATGTTTGGCGGCGGTGATGGTGTTGTTGGCGGCGGCAATGCTACCATGCACCGGAGGTGCACTTATCAAGGTCGGCGGGAAGCCTGGCTGGGCACTGAATGTTAACTACACTGACTGGGCTACTCATCGCCATTTCTATGTTGGAGATTGGCTATGTAAATTCTCTCTCTCTCTCTCTCTCTCTCTCTCTCTCTCTCTCTCTCTCTCTCTCTCTCTCTCTCTCTCTCTCTCTCTCTCTCTCTCTCTCTCTCTCTCTCTCTCTCTCTCTCTCTCTCTCTCTCTCTCCATATATAACTAACGTGTATTTTTCTGGCAGATTTTGTGTTCGACAAGCGGTACTACACGGTGCTGGAGGTGAACGAAACGAATTACGAGCAATGCAGAGATTCGGAGTTCATAAAGAATATAACTCGAGGCGGGAGAGATGTGTTTAACTTAACGGAATCGAGGGATTATTATTTCTTGAGTAGCGGCGGTTATTGTTTCCATGGAATGAAGTTAGCTATTCATGTTAATAACCAACTCCCTCCAATTTATCCCCCTCCTTCCAAGAACAACGTTATAAATGACGCCTCACCACAATCCAACGGTGGTGGTCGATTCATCATCTTCTCGCTCTCGTTTCTGACTTCCATTGTTTTGAAAATGTTGGTATGATTATGATTAACTTGAAGAATTGGTGTAGAATAATTAAGTATGATGAAATTAGTGTTAATTACTTGGTTTAAGGTGTTGTTTTATGGCTGTTTATGCTAGGTTAATGATGCATTGAAGTAAGGGGTTTAATTTGGAGTTTATGTATTGATTATGAAATTAAATTCTGAGCGGATCAGACGATATTTAAAATAAATCGGATTCCTCTATTTTTTTAACATATGGCACTTTTAAGTCTTAACTCTTAACTCTTAATGAATCACACTGATTATACTTAGGATTAGTGGGGTTATAGGTTCTGCTCGGGTTTTCTTTTTTCTTTTTCTTTTTTTTTTCTTCCAATTATTAGAATCCTAATATATTTTTATTTAAACTATCCATATGTCAATCTTCTATGGCATCCGACTTTCCTATTAAAACAGACCATTTTTCTTAGTTTATACTACATACAATTAAGCCTCGATAAATTAATATAGTCATGAATAGCAAAATTCGATTAATTTAAAGAATCATTGAATTATTATTTATTTGGGCCTTTTATCCGTTATGCTCCAAAGAGCTATTGTTGGGCTTTTAATTTGTTATAGTCTATAACGGGCCTAAAATATGATATTTACATTTCATTAATTCATTCCTAGGCAAATAATTTGCCACATTATTTAATATATTATATCACGAAAGATTAAATAATGGAAAAAATGCAGTTTTCACCCCTTAAATTTGCACCAATTACATATTTGGTCCCTCATGCTTATAAAAAATATGTTTTAAAAATTCAATATTTTTAGTCATTTTCGTCAATTTCCTGTTATAACTAACGGAATCAAGAGTGTCTCCATCATTGCCTTAACAAACGGACTAATAGTAAATTAACGGAAATGACCAAAAGTGTTAAATTATTGTAACATGCAGGACCAAATGTGTTTTTCGTGAAAATGGGCGACCAAATGTAAAATCGGTGCCAACGTGAGGGGTAAAACTGTAGTTTCTCCATTATTTAATATATTATATTGTTTTAAAAAGATATTTGAAAATAAAAGGAGGGGGCGGCTGGAAAACAAAATAAATTATGTAAGAGGCAACAAGTGGGCAAGTTGAGCAAAACTGTTTGTTATATCCAATTGGCATGTGCAATTTCGTACAATGGATTTTCAATTTTAATGCAATGAGGTAATTAAATAAAGGGTAAATTACAACTAGCTCCCTTAGGTAAAGTGTAAATTTAAAAAACTCCTTCCTTTATGAAAAATTACATATAGTTCCCTATAGTTTGTAAATGTCTTGCATAGTTACATGATACATCCAATCCCCTACAAAAGTTACTTATAAAAAAACCCTTCAAAAGGGTGTTAATGTATGAAATCTACAAATTATACGGTGTTGGATGTAATTATAGAAAAATGAGAGGTTTTTTGTAAATAGATTTTACCTTAGAGGGGCGATTGTAATCTACCGTGAAATAAATGTGGTTGTTTCTCCGTCGGCTTGGACTCTATGGACCCAAAATATGACAAAACAGCTCCATATTCCTAATTGTTCAAGTTGCAATTTAATGTATAAAAAAAATAAAAATTAAAAGAGTTAAGAATAACCTTAACTTGTTTATTTTTCTTAATGTCTCATCTAGATTGAAGGAGTTCGATTTAATTGAATTGCATCATTAAATCATGTAAATAATTAGCGAAACGATAAAAAAAATTGAAGATTCGCTATTCAATTTATAAGTTTTCAGAAATTGCAAAATGACCCATAAATTTTTTGACAGAGTTCGAAACACGAATACGTACATTAAGATGTTAAAGTTTTCGTGCGTGCTATGTACCCTACAACTGAACTGAACCGAACAGTAATTTACAATCTTGGGATTTCAAATCGAAATTAAGGATGTTTGTTTGGGGAGTACAAAAATTAACTTTTTCATCTACCCGGAGGCTTGAATTGATTTGACAAGGCTTCCAAATAAGTAGTTGTTGATATTTTTATTTATTGTGTTGTTGAAAATATCAAAATAATATCTAGAAATAATTATAATTAGTGCAATATTTCTACAAAATTCAATATATGTTCGACAATTGCATTTTAATTTATTTGATAAATTGGTGACGTAAATTACGAGCATTGGCATATAGTGTGAAATGGAGAGAAAAATGAATAGATGACGAATAAATTTGCGTCACTATCTTATCATCACTTGAAAAAATATACCAAAATTTCAACGGACAGAAGAAAATAAATCTAACCATATAATTCATTATTGCAAATAAATTAAATAAATAAATAAAGATTAATTAAAAAAAAAAAGGGTCTCCAGCTATTTCTTTCACGTTGAAAAAATAAGCCCACTTTTTCTGTAGTAGATAAGACGAAAACCTATCACAGCCGACGACAAATATATAATATAATATCTCGATTCTCGACACAGAGAGAGAGAGAGAAACTAGAGAGAGAGAGAGAGAGAGAGCGCAAGTTGTAAGTAGTGATTGATTAATTAATGTAATAAATAATATTGACGTAGGCCCGAAACTCTGCACTTAGCCACTCACTGCTTACGCAACTTGCTCATTACATCTATCTGTAATCTCTCTACATTTTAATTATATATATATATTATATATATACACGATTGTGTATGCAAGTTGTGGAGCATAAGTGAGAAGAAAGGGAAGAAGAAGAAGAAGAAGAAAGGAAAGCGGGTGATTTAACTAAATTCATCGATCAACAAATAAATGGGTGAAACAACGGTCGAAGATGCGTCGGGGAATCGTAAATCCAAGCCGACGACGATCCTGGTGCCGCCACGTGGCTCCATGGAATCCCTTTTCTCAAACGGGTCGATTGGCGGGTTCGGGTTCAGCCCCGGCCCGATGACTTTGGTCTCTAACTATTTCGCGGAGCAGGGTCCGTTTTCTTTCTCTCAGCTCCTCGCCGGCGCCATGTCTTCGCCGACTACGGGTTTGTTGATGACTAATTATCCTCCGGCGGCGGCGGCGGAACAAGAAGAAGAGAAGGAGAAGGAAAAGGAGAGTAACTCATCTGATGATGGGAAGAATAGCGAGAGCGGCGGCGGCGGAGGTGGGTATAAGCGGAATAGGCCGATGGATTTGGTGGTGGCTCAGCCGCAGATGCCGCCGGAGAGCCTCAGCCCGATGTTCATGGTTCCGCCGGGGCTGAGTCCTTCTGGGTTTCTCAACTCGCCCGGGTTCTTATCCCCACTCAGTGTGAGTAAACCTTCATCAATTTGAAATTAATCTGTTGATTTTTTTATGATTCGTTTAATTTAATTTGCTAATTAGATTTCATACAATTTGGTAAATTATTTAATTGAAATTTATCATCATAATTCATATCTATTGCAATCTGAGCAAGTAATTCAAGATTCATTTATTTATTTATTTGTGACAAAAAAAAAAATTTGATTTTCAGATAAATGAATGAAGCATATGTGGAAATTAAACTCAGAAGAATGCCGATTTCGAATTTCAATAGCTTCAATATATTGTTTTGTCCGAATTAAAATTTCAATTTCTAATTTTGTCACTCGACAGAGCCCGTTTGGAATGTCGCACCGACAAGCGCTAGCGCACGTAACAGCACAAGCGGCATTTTCCCAAACGTACATGCAAATGCAATCGCAGCTTCAACGCTCTCCATCTATAGAATCATTAGCGCCACATCATCAGACGAGCATCATTCCCGTTTCAACCGTACCCGACGCTTCGAAGATAGATTCGTTCGAGGTTTCACAGTCGGACAACAAATCTTCTAACATAGTTGCGGACAAGCCAGCTAACGACGGTTATAACTGGAGAAAATACGGTCAGAAAAATGTCAAGGCTAGTGAATGCCCTAGAAGCTACTATAAATGTACGTATATTAATTGTCCCGTGAAAAAAAAGGTCGAGAGATCTTTCGACGGTCGTGTATCGGAAATTACGTATAAAGGGCATCATATTCACGATCCGCCTCAGAGTAATAAACGGGGGAAAGATGGTTGTGCGTTGGATAAGACCGTTAAATCGCAGGCGAAGTCCGATGTAATGAATAGGTTGAATGAAGCTGCATATGTCAAATGTGAGCCGGTGAATTTTCAGGCGACGACACAACGGTTATTTGAGCGGAATCCTATGATTTGTTATAACGGTGAAGTTGGAGATTCGGTTGTCGTTGTAGATGATTGTGAAAATAATGATGATGATAATGATTGTGAACCGGTTTCCAAAAGAAGGTATTTTTATTTATTTAACTATTTTTTAGTATCGTCTCTTGTTTTTTTTTTCCATTCAACTCTTTCATTCAGACATGAGTAAAGTCGAACGGATCGGATTGGAATTAGTACTTTTGGAAAAATTCCAATTTTTTCGGAAGTGAAAAACTAATTCCAATTCTGTTCAATAAAAAAGGTTTGGAATTTCGGAAACCGGAATGAAAAAATTTGTTCAAAAATCGATTTTTTTTCTTCGGAATCGGTGAAACTCAGAAATTTTATTCTTTGTAGTCACCTATGATATAAATTACGTAATAAAATTGATATTATAAGCGTATTTTTCGGAAATATAGTCTGAATTTTGGGAATTTTTTTCAAAAATTGAGATCCGATTGGAATTTCGGAATCTAATATTTATTTCAAATCCGTTCGAAAAAAATCTGAAAATTTGGAATCGGAATTCAGAATGAAAAATATCATTCCAAATAGGCAGAATTCGAGAAATTCAGTTCCAATTTCTACCCCTACTCATGTGAAAATGCGTATTCTTTGTGCAGGAGTGTGGATAATGGACAGTCGATTGCAGCTTCAACGCATGAAACTATTACAGAAACGAAGATTGTGGTGCAGACGAGAAGTGAAGTTGATCTTCTGGATGATGGATACAAATGGAGAAAATACGGACAAAAAGTTGTCAAGGGGAATCCACATCCGAGGTATATTTGGAGTGATCTTTTTTATTTTATTTTAATGCATTCTAGAAGACGAGACCTTATCTTCCGGAAACTTCTAATGCATGCAAAAATTGTAAGTGCAGGAGTTACTACAGGTGTACATATGCCGGGTGCAATGTACGTAAGCACGTCGAGAGGGCTTCGGCGGACCCAAAAGCTGTGATTACAACATACGAGGGTAAGCATGATCATGAATTACCTGTTGGAAGGTACAGTAGCCACGGTGCAGTAAACTGCAATTCGAATCAATTTAAGACACAAAAGACGGCTAATAAGAAACCTATGCCGAGTATAGAAATGGATTTCGGGAACATGGATAGTACACCGATGACTCTACAGCTCAAAGAAGAAACAATTGCCGCGTGATTTTATTATTTGCCAAAATTATATTAAACTCCAAATCTGGAGCAATGGTGTAAGAATATATATATATATATATATATATATATATATATATATATATATATATATATATATATATATATATATATATATATATATATATATATATATATATATATATATATATATATATATATATATATATATATATATATATATATATATATATATATATATATATATATATATATATATTTATATATATAGTTTTGGTTTTGTATAATGTAAGTATTTTTGTGCTTCTGTATTTATGTTTGAACAGATGATCATGTCAAATGATGCTTTGTTATAGTTATGGATTTTTTTTTGTCCTATTTCCTTTTTAGATCATAAGGTAATGGACAAGGTACATTGGTGCAATTTTCACCCCTCAAACTTGCATGAATTTCACATTTGACCCCCCAAGTTTCAATAATTTAACATTTGTGATCATTTCCATCAAATTTACCGTTAGTCTGTTAGTTAAGGCAATAATGGACACACACCTAATTCCGTTAGTACTGACCGAGAAATTGAAGGAAATGACTGAAAGTGTTGAATTTAGGGTTAACTGCAAAAAATCCCCTAAACTTTGGACGTTTTTGCGCTTTACCCCCTGAACGGAAAAAAGTTGCACGGGCATACCTGAACTTCAGTTTTCTTAGCACCGATGTCCAAAATGTCTATTTTTGGCCAAAATTGACCGGAAGTCAAATCACGTGCCTAACACGTGACTTTAGCTGGGATAAATTGGTCATTTCCCTTATACTCAATTTTCTTCCTTTTCTTTTTAATAAATATAAATAAATCTTAAAAAGAAAAAAATAAAAAAGAAGAATAAGTTTCTTCTTCCCGTCACCATCATCCCCAACCAAGCTCTTCCCTTCACCACCTGCCCCAACAAAACTACTCTTCATCCACTTCAGCCCTCAGCCACCGCTTGTCGCCTCTGCTTCACCTCCCTCCGCCGTCTGTCTTTCGCAACTCCACCGCTTGCCCAACTTTGCTTCGCTGCCTTCCGCCGCCTTTCTTTCGCATATCCACTGCTTGCCCAACTCTGCTTCGCCGCCCTCCGCCGCCTGCCGCCTCTACTTCACTGCTTCACTGCCCATCGGAATTAAGGACTATAACTAGAAAGCAAATCACACCAAAACACCAAATTAATCAATCTTTCTCTTTCCCAAAAAAAATATCAAATTGAGGATTGTATGGTTGATTAAGCTTTGACTCAAAAAACTCAAATTCCTCGGCGGAATCAAACTCTGATTCAAAGAAGAAGAAAAAATGTTCTGGAGCTGAAATTGACGCACCGCCGCCGAAGGTTTCAATGGTGGAAGGTTTATCCCTTGCTACAGTGTCATATTTCCACCACTGCAATTCGCTGCCGCTGCCACCCGTTGATTAATTGGGCAAAGAATGAACCACCAGCCGGCGGTCAAACTTTGAGACCGGAGCACTGGCGAAAAACCCCAATCTCTTTGCCTTGTGATGGTGAAGGGGTGGATTGAATAGCAGATTTTCGAGATCGAACTAACAGATATGGGGGGATGGATTGAAATTGGTTCGGAAGGGGTGGTGGTGCGGCGTCGGATCAGAAGTTCTGGTAGGTGGTTGTCTAATTTGTGTGTGGTGGACGAAGATGATGGGTTTTTAAATTTCTTTTTTTCTTTTTTGTTTTTCTTTTCTTCTTTCTTTCATTTTTCCTTTTTTTAATTATTTATATTTATTAAAAAGAAAATGAAGAAAATTTGTGTAAAAGAAAAATACTAATTTACCCCAGCTAAAGTCACGTGATTTAACTTCCGGTCAATTTTGGCCAAAAATGGACATTTTGGAGATCGGTGCTAAGAAAACCGGAGTTCAGGTATGCCCGTGCAACTTTTTTCCGTTCAGGGGGTAAAGCGCAAAAACGTCCAAAGTTTAGGGGATTTTTTGCAGTTAACCCTTGAATTTATGAACATGAGGGAGGGGTCAAATGTGGAATCCGTGTAAACTTGAAGGGTGAAATCTGTAATTTTCCCAAACTTATGGGTGGGCCATGGGCCCGGCTGCCAGAAAATTATCTTCGGGGACATTAAAAATAACTCTTATGGGCTCAGGACCTCTTTTAATTGGGCCATTAAACTAAACATTTTTCTATTGTTTGTTATTAAAAGCAGGCTAAATTGGGTGGATTTTTAGTTTTCAATTATAAATAGTTTATATACTCAAAAAAAAAAAAAAAAAGATAATAATATTAGATTCAGTAACATCAATTTAATTCTTATTGCAATGATTTACAAACTCGGTTATTTCTATATTACATCCGGTGAAAAATATATTTTTTTGGGAAAATGTGGAATAACCCCCTAGTTTTGAAAATATATATGGATAGGTCCAATAGATTTTTCTTTCCTAGTCAAAAACCCAAATTCCAATCTTAATTTGACATACCCCCTAGACAAATTGAAATACTTATTTTACTCTTTTAGTTACAATTCAAACCCTAACCCACCTTTTCTCTTTCCACAAACTCTATCAGCCGTTTTTCTCATTCATTCTCCCTCTCTCTTTCGTCTTTCTTCCTCTAACTCACTTTCTCTATCTAACTCTTCTTTCTATCTCCATTTCCCTCTCTTTCTTCTCTCTCTCTCTAACTCACTATCTCTCTCTTCGGCACACAGCTCTCCGCGGCCTCTCTACTCCCCACCGCCTTGCCCCGCCCATCGCCATTGCTTCCTCCCACCTCATTGCGACGCCGACGTTGCTCTCCCACAACCTTGCACCGCCGCCGCCAGGGGCGGTACTACATAGGGGCAAGGGGGGCAGTTGACCCCCCAATAAAAAAATAAAAAATTTTGCTGTTTTAGTATAATATTTTTTGAATATTACTTTTGGCCCCCCAAAGGTTTTGTAAATATGTATTTTAACCCTTATTTTTTTTTTATTCTTCACAATTTTATATAAATTATAGATATATATTATATTTAATATAAAAATATAAAATAAAATGGTTAAAACTTGTACTATTTTAAATAAAATTTATGAATATTTACTTATCGATCTTTAATTTTTTATATCAATGTCTCTAAAAAATAATACGAGACATGCCATAAATCCCATTAAGTGCAATATATTATTAGAATAATTTAGATTTTTTTGTCATACTTGAAATATGATAAAATTATATATATATATATATATATATATATATATATATATATATATATATATATATATATATATATATAAATGATAAACGCAGAGCCCCAAAATACTAAATGCAGTTGGCTTATAGTGCTGAATGCAGTTGACGAAATTACTGAGTGCAGTTGGGCGAAAATTGCATTTAAGGGCACAATAGTACTTTTACCTCTCTAGGGGTATCTCAAAGAAAGATTTTTAGAAGTGGATTTATCCCTATATATTTTTCATATTAGAGGTGTATATCAAATGGACCTTAATTTTTTACCGTTGATCTACACGGTGTATGTGTGCCTGTGTGTATCTTAATAATAGAAATCTACCTAGTTTATTTTACCAAATGTAGCGTAGAATAGACCGTGGTTTGGCTGTTGGCCTAGGATTCTTGAAACACGGCAACCAACCAATAGATGACTAGAGTGAACCCCCATCCCCCACTTGGGAATATCTACTAAATCAACCAACGTAAATTCGAACCCTATCTTCCCAACATTCCATTTTCCATTTCTTTAATGGTAAATTACGTCGACCCTGAAGTGAGATTAAACTATGAAATAGCTTCTCGTATTTGGATAATTATAACTATCTATCATCTATGAATTTTCTTACACGTTTATTCTTATGGTGTCAAATTTAGAGAATTTTTTTAGATTATGTAGAATATTCTCTAGCTTGTATCCATTTTATCCCATTCAAGCTCACAATATTTTGAAACAAGATGATCATAAGACGTGTTTTTTGACATGTGTATATTAGATTGTGGTGCATCAGAAATTACAGTTGTGCACAAAATGAATACAAACTAGAGAACATTTCGCAGAACTTAGAAGATTATGTTGAATTTAATACCATAAGAACGGACGTATAAGACAATTCAAATTTGAGAAGATGATTGTAATTGCTCAAATATGATGTGTGTGTTTTTTTTTTTGTGATTTAATCTAACAATCAAGGTGCCCGTAGTTTAACATTTCTTTAATTTACCAAACTTCCCACATTAAAAAAAAGTGATTTGAAAATAAAACAAAATAAAATATGATTGATATAGTTGGAGCCACGAAATGCAAATAGCAACAAAAAGTGTATTCTCTCTCTCTCTCTCTCTCTCTCTCTCCCTCCGTAGACAACAAACGACACAGAAAAAAATCTTTGACCCGCTCTTTTTCCTCTCCCTAAAAACAAGGTTTACTTTCTCTCTCCTCTCTCTCTCTCTCTCTCTCTCTCTCTCTCTCTCTCTCTCACTACCCATTCTTTTTTTATTATTTAGAATCAAGAGCGAATGAGAGAGATGCTGTAGGGGTGTTGTTTCTTTAGAATCCACCCCTCTAACCCGATTACCCATTTCCCACCATCCGGGTCGGTTCGGACTCTTTCCACCACGTTGTAAGATCCATTGGATGGGTTTTAGTGGTGGGTCATGGGTTGTGTTAGCTCCAAGAAGCAAAGGTCTCAATCCCCTGATTTCGATGACCATGAACAAGTCGTCGTCTCCTCCTCCGCATTTCCCGGTCGGACCGCCAATAGGTCCACGACCCGCTCCGCTTCCTCCGGGCCGGTTCATGTTCATGCATCGTCCGGCCCATTAACGAAGAAGGTAAAGGAGGATCCCGACATTGAGGCGGTGGTCGTCGTCGACGATGAATCTGGTAAGATCAAAATACCCGATTTTGACGATGCTGACGGTTCGGCAAATTTCACGGCGGCTTTGACGAGAGGGCCCTCACAGAAGAAGGCGCCGGCGCCGGCGCCGGCGGCGGGTTTCACCATTAATTTTGGCAGGTTGTCGGAAGGCGCTGAGCAGGCGGCGGCGGGTTGGCCCGCTTGGCTCACCTCTGTAGCGGCCGACGCCGTCGACGGGTGGGTCCCTTTGAGTTCCGACACGTACGAAAGATTGGATAAGGTAATATATATATAATTATATATATATATATATATATATATATATATATATATTATGCCTTCTTGAAAAGTATAATTCATTTTTTGAAGAATTGAAACAATATACATTCTAATGTGTGTGTAGATTGGACAAGGTACGTACAGCAACGTTTACCGGGCACGCGATTTGAGAACCGGTAAAATGGTGGCCGTTAAAAAAGTCCGGTTCGACAATTTTCAACCGGAGAGCGTCCGGTTCATGGCTCGTGAAATCATGATCCTCCGCAGGCTGGACCACCCTAATATCATGAAACTCGAGGGCATCATTACATCCCGATTATCGTGTAGCATATACCTCGTTTTCGAATACATGGAACACGACTTGGCTGGACTTTTATCATGCCCCGATATAAAATTCACCGATTCTCAGGTTTCGTCTCGTCTCCCTTCAATTGAAATGCTAAATGTCGTTTCATTTTTATTGGGTGCCTTTTTTACTTCAAGTATGATTTTTTTTTACCATTTTTCAGTCTGAATTTAGCAAAACTCAAAATATTGAATTTGTAATTCTTTGAATTGGCTTTCTAATTCAACTTGAATCGGCTAGATTACAATCTGAATCTCAAAAAACTCGAAACGTCGAAGTTTATAGTCTGGTGTTTATTCATTCATGCATATCTTTCTCACTCGACATCCAATCTACAGTGATTCAAGTTGGATTAGAAAGCGGATTCAAAGGACTAAAAATTTGGTGTTTTGAGTTTTACCAGATTCAGACCGAAAAGGGGTCAAAGAATTAGATTTGAAATCGATATATTCTAATGTCGATCTTTTCGTTTGGAAGTACAGATCAAATGCTACATGAGACAGCTATTAAGTGGAGTGGAGCATTGCCACTCGCGAGGGATAATGCATCGAGACATTAAATCCTCGAATATCTTAGTCAACAACGAAGGGGTCTTGAAGATAGCAGATTTTGGGCTCGCGAATTTTCTTAGACCAGCGAACAAGCAACCAGCTTTAACAAGCCGAGTGGTGACTCTATGGTACCGGCCCCCCGAGCTTCTACTGGGGTCCACAGAGTACGGTGAAACGGTCGATCTATGGAGTGTGGGCTGTGTCTTTGCCGAGCTTTTCGTTGGAAGGCCTCTCCTTAAAGGCAGAACCGAGGTTAGGACAATCTTCAAGTTGTCTGAAATAGATATATATCTTTTTTTTTTTCTTTCCATTTTCTTGAATTTTTGTGGCTTAAATAGGTGGAGCAATTGCATAAAATCTTCAAGCTTTGCGGCTCTCCGCAAGACGACTATTGGAAAAAATCTAGGCTTCCTCTTGCGACTATGTTCAAACCGCAGCAGCCTTACGAGAGTACGCTGAGAGAGAGATGTAAGGAGTTTCCGAAAAGTGCTGAATAGTTCAGCCGGGC